TGGTGCACTCGGTCGACAGAGATGCCTGTTGTCTCAGCTATCTCACGCGTTTTCAAACGGCGATCTGCTAATACCAAATCGTGAACTTTGTCGATGTTTTCTTCAGTGATAGCAGTTGACGGCCGTCCGCTGCGAGGGTCATCTTCCACACTCTCTCTGCCAGATTTAAAAAGGGCTGTCCATTTTTTCACAGTGGTGTACGAAGGAGCAGACTCTCCCAAAACTTCATCCATGTCAGCTTTGATTTGAGATGGAGTCAACCCTTTTTTCGTCAGGTATTTTATGACCGCACGAGTCTCCGTCTTCTCCATTTTTGACAAAGCATGTGCACACTGACTATCTGCTAAGCTGTCGTGGCAAAACTTTTTGACAAATCAAGCGAAAATTGGTATCGTATCTTTAGCAAAGATGGCTGAATTATTCCTGCCAAAAATTAAATTGATCGCAGCGCCGCATATAGGCAAGGCCGCGAACTTTCCGAACAGCCCTCGTATTTCATATTTAAAATAAAAGTTCACATACAAGCTTAGTTTCACATAATAATTAAAATTCTTTAATCTTAAGCATTTTCAAGAAAAATATGAATCAATTTCAAGCTGTTGGATTTATAAGCTGTAGCACAAACACTTGCCGGCATAGTGGTTAATTTCTGGCCCGCGAGTGCATATTTCCTGGCTGCTCTGGATTTGAATCTTGATTTTTTTTAAAGAATGTCTATAATTTTTATTTTTATTTTGAGGGAAAGCAGAAGTATGTTTTTCCATTACCAAAAAAAATTTGAAAATAAATAACTTGGTAATTTACTCAGGTATTTTTATTTTCTTGATGGTCTAATTTACTTGCTCTCTCATTCAACTTACAGTATATTTTTATTATATTTTCATGGCATTTCCAATAGCACAAACACTAACCACTAACCAAAAATTAAAGGAAATTGAAAACATTCTATTCAACTGAGAATTGGAGATATGTCAGCTGTGTTAATACTTACACTGATTTGTAAATGGAAATCCAATATGGCTTAATCCTTGCAGTTTTTCATTTTGAGCATGAGTTAATCACAAATACTTAATTTCAAGTTTTTAGTTAGTGTTGTGTCTTTGGGCAGATTCAAGTTTATTTTATACAACTCTTAATAAATCTAATTGCAGGATAGGTTTATGTATTTACTTATTTTTGCTTTTTATACTAATTTTATATACAGTAGCGTGTCGTTTATCCGAAAGTCGGTTATCCGAAACGTCAGTTATCCGAAAGAATTCCAGTCGGCAAATTTAAATTTTCACTAGTGCTGTGGTGCTGCAATCTAATCTTTGGCTATATCTTGGGCTATTCCAATATTTTTTTTGTTGATGTGTGTATTTTAGCTGGCAGCACTGGCACTTTTGTGTGGTGTTTTTCTGAGGACTGTGTGTCGTGCTGAATTGAACATTTTTGATACTAGATTAACTTCTAAAGTATAATTTTTTGGTTTTTATAATTTTCAATATATTTATTTTGTTTGTAAAAAATAAAAAAATAATTTTTAATGATACAATAGCCACNCATTGTAATAAATTGTTAAGGAATATTTGATGAACGAAGTAACTATAAACTAAGGCAAGACTACGAGTTTGTGTTAAATTTCTTGACTATAAATTTCCACACCGTTGGTAGGCTTTCTGCGTCCCTTGCATTTATGCATGCCTCTTCCAGTTTGCTTTTGTAAATTTCAATTTTTTCAGCGGTTTTTGCTAGTGTTGGAGAGTGCAAGGGTTTTTGCTAGTGTTGGAGAGTGCAAGGGTTAATACCTGCTTCATTTCATTTTATTATTGAGCCTTGTATCTGCGCGAACTGGAAAAGTACCGTTATGCTGGAACCTTTTTTGATGTCATACTTGTGTTCTTTAAGTCTTATCCCCAAGTTTCTTGTTGTGACTCCAATGTAGTCTTTTTTGATTCCTAGTTGTGTGTTCTCGTAAGGAATTTTATATACTCCTGCTTTTTCTTCTTTTTTAATGTGATCTTTATCATTTCTTAAGATTGCATACAGGTTCGGAGCTCTTTATAGGAGCATTCTTGTCCCCTTGCGGTTCGTAATTTCTTTCATAATACCTTTCGTATTCTTGTTATATGTAAACTTTGTGACTTTACTGGGACCATGTTTTGAAATTCTTGCTGTGCCCATTTCTGCTATTGTGCCTTTTCTGTATCCCAGTGTTTCGGCTACTTGTACGATTCTGTTGATTTCTTTTGTTCTGTCTACAATATAGAAAAGCTCTTCTGATTAGAGCTCAGATTGCTCAGTGCATCTTCAATATTGAAATTGCCAGAATGAAATTTTGTGAACCAGTTTTGGCACAGTCATTCTCCATACATGTCACACAATTTTTTCTTGCTTTAACAGCATTTTTATTTTTTTTTATAATAAAAAAAATATGCTGAAAATGCTACTTTCAATTTTCCATATTTGATGGGACAGCAAAAAAAAACAAACAAAAAAAAAAAGAACAATTGCACAAAATCAAACAAAATTTTTTACAAATAAGTCTTGAAATGTCAGCTGTCAAAATATATAATGACAGTATGGTGTAAAATGAAATTGGCAGGTAAAAATACAACTAATTCCTCTGGTAGTGATAAAACACTGAAATTTCTTTCTGAACAACCCAATATTAAATAATATCATCTATTTAGAATGTAAGAAAATGTTTATTGTATTATTTTTAAGGAATAATAATTTTTTTCAGGAATTAGGAATAAAAAACATACTACATAGGAAGAAATTACAATTAGCTATTCAGTCAATGAATGGAGATAAAAATGTCATGTTAGAAGCAGCTGGAAAGTTGGATAATTCGTGGGTAGTAAGATGGCTGGATGATATTGGTCTACCTCAGTATAAAGAAAGTTTTTGTGAAAGTCGTGTCGACGGTCGTATGCTACACTTTTTGACTGTGGTATGTTAAAATTTGTGTGTTGTAATTAGTAATAGTTTAAAAATTACAGTAAGACCTTGCTTAACACTGCCTTGATTAATGCAAATTTGATATAACGTGGTCTGCTCAAAGCCTAAAGAAAAGCTTAAGATTTACGCTGATTCAAATTACTGCAGAATTTCATTGATTTGTATATAATACAATTATTTATGAACACCAACCAATTAGCAAAAGATGGCGATTTGTCATAGCACTGTGCTTTCCTTAAATCTATGTTTGTTTGGTGCAATTTTCGAAAAAATATAACATAATGGTTGCCATAGTAAATATTGACTTTGCTTGGCAAGAATTAACTGATAAATGCATGAACAGAGTGTGGAAGAAATTATGAATGAAGGTATCCAAGAACTCTCAATGAGAAGAGCCTATCTCTATCATTAGGTTGACCAAATTGTCAACCTAATTGATACAGCAGGACTAGGAGATGTAGACAAGCAGGATATTGAGGAGTTACTGCAGGTTTCTTGGTGAGAGTCTTACCAACAATGACCTTCAAGAACCAGAAGAAGAAGGAATTCATGTACAACTGGAAAATAGTGATTCTGAAAATGAAGAACTCAAAGAATTTCTCTACAGATTTCTTTAGTAGAAGTTTGATAACAGTAACCAAAATTGTTGATCAAATTGTAGTGAATGATCCAGATTTTGAAAGGAGTGGAAAAGCAAAACAAGGATTTTGGATGCAATCTTCTGCTACCGACATTTGCTTAAGGAAAGAAAAAAGTGACAAATGAAACTTTACAACTTTATTGCAAAAAAACAAGAATTTCAGAAAAGCCAGGACCTTCATCACAAAAAATGAACTTTACATTTCTGTGTGCATATGTTTGTGTTATTTAACATATATTATTATGCAAATTAAAATAAAAATTACTTAAAATTAAAGTAAAATCTGTTTATTTTTGATTTCCTGTTCCCTTTTCCCTATTTACTCTGTGTTAAAATGACCTTGTTTAATGCTGTTTTGTTTAGCACTTTGTCATCTAGAAATGCATCCCTTGCTTAAGCGGGGTCCTACTGTATATGTGTTTTGTTATAATGAAATTTTTAAAACTTACAATCAATAATGGAAAATTATTCAATAATAAATTACAAAAAATAGCTTCTACTGTACATACAATAGGCTGGAGGGCAGAGTGGTTAAGGTGGCAGCCTACCGCTCTTGGAGACCTGGGTTCAAATCTGGATGGGTCAAAAAATCCCCAGGAATTTTTTGGGGGTGGTCCATTCAGATTAGTCAGGCCCAACCCTCACCACCCAGTTGCCCCATTGTGGGCCTGGCTGAACCCATAATGGGCCTCTATTCCGCACAGGGTGGAAAGAGTTTAAAAAAACTGCATATACAATAGTAATTAATTTGGGGTTTGGCCTGTACTGATAACAATAATTTACATTGTATTATAAAGTGGGCTAATTTGATGATTTTCAAATTTTAAAGTACTGTATCTTTGTTGCTGCTGTGTTGATGTTTTTGGTGTCACATGGACAATTGTGATGTGTTCTAAAAATGCATGCAGGCATTGATGCTAATAACCAAAATTGGGGAGTTGATTTTAAAAAATAGAGTTGATCACCATGTTTCTGTTCTTGGCTCAATGAAACAAAATTGTAGGACTTTTTAAAAGGCAGGATTTGTTAAAAATAAGTTCCAAATTACATTATTCTTATTATTAGAACACTTACGTGCAGTGGCATTACAGGAGTGGAATTCCCGATCCGGAAATTTTTCCAACTTTTAGAGAGAGGTTTTTCCGCAATTTCGAATGATATTTCCGACGGTTCGGCTGATTATGGTTTTCGAATATTATTTAAAGGTTCTTACGTCATAGCGCGAAGAAATGATGATAAATAAATATTAACATTAGAAATGTCTGTTAATGAACATAGTTCGTTCAAGTATGCGCACCAACGCAAAATAAGCATATAAGCAACGAAGGAGTATTTTTATCTTGGGTTGAGTTGTTTGAACGCTGTTATCCAAATTTGTGGGAGCTCGAGAGTTGGGGAGTTGCATGGTATAGTAGTAGAAATAGAGTGTCTCTCTAAAAGTTGGAAAAATTTCCGGATCGGGAATTCCACTCCTGTAACGCCACTGCACGTAAGTGTTCTAATAATAGTATACGTCGGCGTGAAGTGCAAACTTATTACATTACATTATTCATTTCTGCATGTAATACAGTGACATTTCTTGGCAAAATGGTTTCGGAAAAAAATTTTCTGAATGAAAATGGTAATTTCTATATAACATAAATTGTATTGTTCATGTTTTGTTGGGTTTCACAGTTGTCATGTTTGCAATGAAATGTGGAAACCTGGAAATGAGGAAAACTGAGGAGTGGGATGACAACACAATCATCAGTATTAACTTGATCTTTTCTTCTGACATATACAGTACTAGTACTTCTTTTCCACCACTTTTGGGTTTTATCAGAAGTGTCAGTGGTAAGCTTATGTTCTTCATTCATGGTACTAATAGAATCAGCATCACTCTTTAAGGTTCCTGTGAAGTTTGGTCTTTTACCTCCTCTGGTGGTGTTTGTACTGGTATCATCACTCATCACTCATAACTCATCAGATTGCTTTGTGATGCTTTGTCCTGATACCAAGCTGTTCAATTTCCACCAGTTCCTCCTGACATCCTCTCTATGCTGTTAGTCCCTGGATGTTTCCAACACAGAAACCACTGTATGCAAAACATGTTCTAATTATCCCTGTGTGTTTCTGCTTGCATTCAGCTTGTTATGCAGATTGAGTTTGATTTTACACTTGCAAATACATGCATACATTGCGCCGATTGTTATGCTAATCAATTACATTTGCGCATTTTTAAATAAATCAGTAGGCTCACTTACTTAATTAAACTATATATTTTCAGCATGTGAACAATGTTGGCAAGTTTGATCTCTCATTAGCAAGAAGTGGCTTCAGTATATTGTCACACCATGTCATCTGAAATGCTTATTTGTGTAGTATATAAAGCAAAGTTTATTATTAATTTAAAAACATTTAGAAATGGAAATAGCATTTCAAAACAAATGTGTCTCATTGATCAATGTAGCCCTGTTGATCAAAATAATCTCAACTACAGTAATAACATTAAGTGAGGCAAGTAAATAAGACTTCAATTAGTGAATAAAATCAAACTTTCTCTAACATTAAAAGGGCATGTTAAAACAATTCATGAATTTTTAAGTTGTAGAGTTTCTAAATATAGTTTTTGAATCACCCTCTATGTGGGCATTTGCTAAAAAATTTTTTGCAGATTTAATTATTTAATTTTTTGAGTATTTTTTTCTCTCAAGTGGATTACAGAATACAATATTGCATCAAATTAACCCATGGTCCAGGGTGTAAGGTTACATATCTCAAATACTTTTACAGTTATAGTTTGTGAAATTTTTTACTTCATCTCAGGGAAGGGCAAATGTCTTGTTTGGTTCCTCTGCAGACATCCATAGCCCTATATATAATTTTTTTAATCATATAATCTGTTAGTTTTTAGAAAAGTTAATTCAAAAAATGACTTCAATGTTGAAATAAACTATATAATTGATAAGATTAAGTTCATAATTTTTTTAATATAAGATTATTTGATATGTCACATTTTACTCATTCAATATATTTTTAGGAGGATCTTTTTAACTTAAAAGTAACAAATCAATTACACCATATCAGTATAAGAAGAAGTATTCAAGTTTTAAGAGCACATAATTTTGATCCTTATGCATTAAAAAGAAGATCTCTACCTGAAGAGGTAATATTTTTAGTAACAGCAAAAATTTTATTTATTATCATGTATTTATTTGATTATTTATACTTTTATTGTAGACGAAACAATATAGTCCCGAAGAAGTAGTCTTATGGACCAATCACAGGGTAATGGAGTGGTTAAGAACAGTCGACTTATCTGAATATGCTCCAAATTTGAGAGGAAGTGGAGTTCATGGTGCATTATTGGTAAATATTAAGTTTTATAAAATACTTTTGACTTGTAAAAAGTTTGCTGGTAAGACATTTTGTAAATATAGAGATTAAATAAGTTAATATGAGGAATTTAACTGTTTTATAAGATTCTAGAAAGTGGAATAAACATAAAATAGTACTAAATTGTTGTAATTACATTTGAAATAAATAAAACTGTCTTTTAGTCTTAAAATTTTAATACTGAAAAACAGTTTTATTCATTTCATACATAATTATCTGTGTGAAAAACATATATTATTTAATGTAATTACATTGAAAATTAAAAATGGAATACAGTGGTGCCTTGACTTACAAGTTTAATTCGTTTCATGTCAGAACTCATAACTCAAATTACTTGTATGTAAAATCAATTTTTCCCACTGAAATTAATTGAAATGCCATTAATCTGTTTTGGACCCCTCAAAACACTGCAATTTTTTTGTTACATGTTTTTAAATAAGAAAAATGTACTTATAAATAAGAAATATTGTATAAGAACACAATAGAATGTACTGAAATAAACTGGTTTTGCAGATGTTGTGACATTTGCTGCATAGATAAAGAAAGAAAAGATGGAAAATTTGAGAAATGAGAGGTGGTGATGCTGCACAAAACATGGAATTGAACTAATGCCTACGTCACTCAATCACACGTTTGTCTATAAACTAGCTGTCAGACATTGGAAGAGTACGAAAATGATGAAATTACAGCAGTTTTTCTTTGTTTTTTTCTTAATCTATGGTTTGCTGTGGCACTTGCTGAGCCAACTAGCAGTAGGGTATCTGAAGCTGGCTTGTAACCCAAATTTTAGCTCTGAACTCAAAGCAAAAACTTGGCCGAGAGACAGCTCATATCTCGAAAAGCTCATATCTCGAAAAACTCATAAGTTGGGACACTCATAAGTCAAGGTACCACTGTATATAAAGAAAGTATTCAAAGTTCATTTACTTGGATATTTGATGCAACAAGTAATGCACACAGACCTGACTATTACTAAAATGATAGCATTTTAAAAAAGTTCATTTATTTTTTTTATAATACTGTTTATTAATTCTTACAATATAGTATATTAGTAATGCAATACAGTAAACTAAGAAAAAACTGAATGGATATAAATAAATATAAGTTATACAGAATATACTGTTAATTTTTTAATTCTTCCCAAATGGGGGGGTTAAACAACTCTGCAAGCACAGCCACTGTAATAGTGATAAATTCCTAGTAATTTATTAGGACTTTTAGTGTACTTTCAACAATTTTTGTTTATTAGAACAACTAATCAAATTGTATTTTGATTAAGTTACTGTAATTTCATGCAGATAATCTGCAAAATTTATCATACTGTAATAAAAATAAAATATTTGAATTGTCTACACCACTATTTCATCTCTGAAGCAGTAGTTGAGAAACTTGACACTTGTGCAATTTACACAATTTAGAAGCTGTTATATCAAATATAATGTTTTCTCAATTCTATTGTTTCTATTACTAGTTTACATGAAATGGTAAAATATAGGCTATTTGAGACAGAATTTTCTAAACTACACAAATATCAAAAATAAAAAAGGCTGTTGAACTGCAACATAATTATTTATTGTTTTACTTCATTTCTATTTTATTTCTCAAGTAATAACAGAAAATGCTAAAATAAATTGAAAAAAATTAATGTTAATGTTTTCTATGTCAATAATATCTATAGAGATGTTCTAGAGTTGGTTGCTTAATTCTTATTTACAGTATAGCATAAAATTGACTAATTGCTTTTAAATAGTTTTCTAAAGTTATAAAGAGAGGGACAAATTACCAGAAACTTATTGCTTTCAAGATAGGTTCAAGTAGGAATGTGTAATAATATCAATTAAAGTGTGGATTGATGGACAGAGAATAGTAAAATATATACAGTACATGCACCATTGGTAGTTTTGGAAGAAATTGCAATGACAAATATGTGTATGGCATACAAAAGATTTTTTGCATTTTGTGAAGATGCCATTGGTAAGTTCAGACAAAAGAAAACCAATTATGAAATCCCCAAATAGCAAGTTAAAATAAAACCCACACATTATCAGATAATTTGCATCCAGTTTCAAATTGACTTTTAAACACAGAGAAAAAGTACCATAATTTAATGCAGATAATTCATAAAGCTATGTATAATCTTATTGTAAATGTATACACTATGATAATGTAGTTCAGTAATTCTGATATTCAAAAATAAAAATTATTCTTAATAGGACATTAAAATAAACACTTGAAAGTGTTCAAATTCAATATGAAATATTTCTGATATTCTGATATTTAATGATATTTAATTAATTATTTATATTTTAGGTATATGAACCACGCTTTACTGATGACCTTCTAGCAACTTTGCTCAACATTCCAACATCTAAAACTTTATTACGTAGACATTTAAGTACACAATTTAAACAATTAATTGGTTTAGAATTAATGCATCAAAAAAGAGATTATGAATCCAACCCAAATTACACACCACTTATTCCAAGTACAAAAGTAAAGGTGAGTGTATATGCTTATATCTATATAATGATTAAGAAATTTGTGAAAAGTTTTAAGATAAAAACTAAATTATTTAAAAATATAAGTCTAAGTAGAACTTTTCCATAATTTCACATTCATTTATGGAAAAGTTAGAATCTTGATGTTGTGAACTTAATATAACACACAGAACAATATTAAAAGAACTTTCATCTACTGTATTTAATCAAATAAAAATCAAATAAATAATAAGACAAATCAAATAAATAAAATATCTCTACACTAAGATATTTCATTACAAGTTGATCACCTTAAAAAAAGCAAATTAAGCCTGCAACGGGATTGAAATTCCTACCATTTATTTCTCATCTTATATTGTTTACAAAGAAAGTTTGACAAAAATAATTCTGAAGGATTATAAATGTATTTGTAATGCTGGAAGTTCAGAAAAATGCAAACAAATTTGTACATTATTTTATTTGTTTATAGAATAGTTGCATTGTTGCATATCTAACTGATTTTTATTTATAAGCCTGTTAAGATATTTTAAATTTAAAATTTAACATAGAGCAAGCCGTGTTATAGGAGTATTCACCATATAGCACATTATTTTTGATCTTGAGTATGGAAAAACCTTGCTATTATGTTAATGTAATTTTTTTTAATTTTTTTTTGTGAAATTCTGCTTTGATTTGCTAAATGTTACACAACAACAACAAAATTGAGATTCCTGTGTTATTGAATTTAATATTTAATGGTTTCAAAAAGTTGTAAGCTTTTATTTAATTGTTTATTAATTTTCTGGGTTTGTATCACTAATTGTTTTCTTAAGACTCATACTGGAATAATTTTTTTGTCAGAAATAAAATTCCAATCTTAAATTATGCCTAGTGAAAGTAAAAAATCATGCTCAAGAGAGAAAATTTGTAACTGATTCTGGAAAAATAGTGAATTGTCTTAAAAAGGAGAAGACATCAAATTTTGTTAAAAATTAAAAGCAACACAATTCAGATTAAAGAAAAATGAATAGAAAATTAGAATTTTCATTATTTCAGGATCTTCTAATTTGCAAATTTGGCCGACTTTTGTTAGCTTTTGAAATGTAATCCTTCTTTTCATATTTTTGGTATCTAATTCTATGTAACTTGGTTTTATGCCACACAAGAAATTATAGGAACCTAACTACCATGTTATACTGGGTTGGTTGCCTGTGTAATTTAGAATTGGGTTTGATTGAATAAATTTGCACTGATATCAGAAGTACTTAATGAGTCTGTAATGATGTATCATTGAATTACACACAATTCAGTTTAAAATACTTATGTATCATGCAAATATGTAAAGCACTATAAAAATTTATCATGAAATTATGTCAATACAAGTCTTATATAATTTAAGTGTTGCTTGTTTTCATTGACAGAGGCAAATGATGCAAGGATAATTTCCATCTAGTCATTGTGCATCTAGATAACCTTTCTAAACTTTTTGTCCATTCTAAATTCTTAAAGCATTGTTTATTCATTTTGCCCCTGCTTGTGCTAATTAGAATTTTTGCCACCAGAGGTGCCGATTCGATTGGAATCTTGAATAGGAAACATTCTTAGTTCTTTAAGGTGTAGAATTAATTAAAAAAACTGAACAGATAAGGTCAAATGGAAGGAAACTTCTCTGCTGGTGGTAACTTAAAAAAGATTTCCATCTAGAACAACTGAAAAACTGACATCAAAAGATCATTCATTAGACTCATGGAATTGATTCTATTGCAGCTAGAATAATAAAGACAAAGTAGTTTGAGCTTTAGTATTTAAAACATTTAAAATAATGCATTAAAAACTGAATGAATGTAGTGAGGAAAATGTACAGCTATTTAAATGTATTTTAATGTAAATACCATTGGTCAAGATTTATTTTTAATAAATTAATTTTGTTCTTTGTCGATTCTTTGATCAGAAGATGGAACAGAAAAATTTTGAAAATACCTACCTTTAATAAAATTCTGACTTTTTCATATGTTTTTGAATAATAATAAAATTGCATATTTTTATACATTTAATAATAATAAAAATGATTCAATTGAAAAGAAACTTGTGATGTTCATAAAAATAAGTGTGACAGTTATTTATACAAATGTGATTTGACAGGCAATTCGTAGAGGCCAGTTTTCCCTAATGAGAAAAAAAGGGAAAAATGAAATTGCATTCGAAGACTATGTATGTCCATTGGATTTATCTGGAAACAACATGCAAAATTCTGAAGGCGAATCTGAAAAACAAGCAGGCCAATCATACACTAGTGAATTTTTAGGAGAAAATAAACAGGTATCATTTTATTAATTTATTTATTATCCAATTATCTGAAACATTAATGGTTTAACTTTAAGTTCTCAAGACAACTTTTTCTCATCACTTGAAAATTTATTAACATAATGAACATTATTTAATGTTTAATATAATTTTATCTGAGAATGTAAAAATAACATATCATTTTGGTTCTTCTTATATTGGATTTTAATTTTAAAAAATGAAATATATGTTGATAAACAGTAAGTAAATAAAATTAAAGCAATGATTTGATTAACTTTCCTGGCACAAAAGTTAAAATTATGTATGGCACCATCTGTTATGAGATTTTATTTTAAAAAACTTCAATTATTAATTATTATAAAATGGCAAAGAGCTTAATTTTGAGTGTACAGATGAATTTTACAAAAAACTATAAATGCTGATAATGAGTAAAATCTTAATAAAGTCTAATCCCATCTCTCCATTCACTCAACCTTTAACTACCAAAAATTAATAGTATCAATGCTCCTAATATACAAACCTCACTGCAAAATTTCAGGAATTATTAAGCTTCAAAATGAATGAAAAGAATTTTGTCGAACATGCTAACATCCATATACAAAAATTGAGGGTTTTTTTCTTTGCATTTCTTGATGTTTCAAGGTGTCCTGAGTCCAAAAATGTAGAAATTATAGGGGAATTAGTTTTTGATCAGTTGCCATACTTTTCCTGTATTATGTATAACAGCCAAGAAAGTAAAAACTTATCAGTAATATTGATTGAATATGACAAATTTTTCTAGCTTTAAAAGTCAATAGACTAACCCAATAAAGTACTGTACTTACATTGGTCATTTATTGGGCTGTTTATTAACTTTCAAGTTAGTAAATGTTTCTGATATCATTAAAACATAAAAGTTTAAAAAAATCAATTATATCAACTACTTATCTACCTTTATTCTCATATGTCTTTATCTGTTATAAAACTATTGAAAATAAATTATTATTATTAATTTTACTCTTACAATTATTTTCTTCAATTGTATAATTTTTAAAATTTAATGCTATTTTATCTGCAATTATTACATTTACTCGAATATAAGATGTCATCCAATTGAAGACATCTTAATTTTTAAACGCTCACAATTTATGCCAACAGAACCAATTCTGTTGACATAAATTGATTCAGTATTTATTGCACAATAAAGTAAGTTATTGTCACAATAAAGTAAGTTATTATCACCATTTTCCATGGTATCAACATTGAAAAACTCCTCTACTTTCTGTGTTAGGCTTTCCTGAATTGAAACTGGATTTGATGCTTGTGTCTTCCCACATTCAATCATTCTCAGTGTCATTTGAAGCACAAAAATGCAACATTTCTTGAAAGAATTATTTATATCATAATTATTTGGATGAAAACTGCAAAAGTTTTCATCCAAATAATTATGATATTAGTATAAAAGACAAGAGATTGAGCTAAGTCAGCTTCAAATATTTACTATTATTGATATTAGCTTAATAAAATTATTAAAATGATGATATGGAATTACTTGGAGAAATAAGGTGTGTGGTACTAGAAGTTGCTAATTATGACTATGAAGTTGCTAATTTGATGTATTACATCAAATCTAAGTCACCTTGATTTCAGTGATATGCTTTTTTTTAAGTTTTAGTGTCTTCATTCAAATAATACAGTGTATATATTGTATATATATATAAGTGGCATGCCATCCATGTAAGCTGTAGAAGTGCTGCTTCCCTTGTATTTTCTAAAATATGAATACATATTGTGTGATTATTTTCATATTTTAGCATACTATGAATTACTTAAAATTAATATTTTATTATAACTGCATTGTGTATTTTATTACAAATTTCTATACATGTGAAAACAGTGACAAGATTGCTATTGTATATCAGAATATAAATTCGTATATGCATATTCCCAATGGAAGCGCCATATTGTCGAATATGGGACAGCTTCCAAGATGAAATTATTTGAATCGTGTAAAGTAGCCAGATTATACACATATGCATATGTGCTTTACAGAGCACCAACCTTGCTGTTTAGCTCGTGGATGATACACACAAAATATCATATAACGCTTCCAATGAATAGGTTTGTTTATAATTTTTATGGAAATACAGCTTCCCTGTCATCAAATGTCACCGCACTCCACTGATATAATATATACAGTATATATATATATATATATTTTCTTTCAAAGAAAGAAATTTATTGCTCATCTAAATGCTTTTTATTGCATTTGTAAACATCCAGAATGTATTGACAAGCTACATTTGCTATTTAACTTATCCCAGAGATACAATTAATAATTTTCATTTTATTAGAAAAATATAAATTTATATATATAATTTTTTAAACTTTCACTTTAAATAAATACAATTTATATAAATGAAGTAATTATTTAATTGCATGATGTTTCATAGACCTAAAAGTTAAAGTTTGATTTTTGACACATCATGGAAGCATCCACTGGAGAATTAACTTAATACTCTCTGTTTGCACATGTGTACACACTCCCAAAATATGTTATATATATAATATACTGTATTTGCATATATATGCAATTACAAAAAGTATAAGTTTAGTTGTGGTATCTTCCTAATCAATAAAAAAAGAAAGAGAAAACGTTTATCTAAAGATAAATAGAAAGTGTATTTGTATGTAAATATTTATTTTTCTTTTTATACATAAAAGTGATTTCTTTTATTTATTTTTCCAGAATAAAGAAGAAAGTATATCTAGTGATAGTTCATTTACAGTAAGTGTTCTTTAAATAATTTTTCAAATTAAGATTGATCATTTTACATCTAACATGGAAAGTAAACAAAATGATCACTTGATTTAACTACGAGGGCTGTTCGGAAAGTTCGCGGCCTCACATAGAAAAACAAACAAAATAATGTTAAAACTTTTTTTATTTTTCAATGTAATCTCCTCTGTTAGCAATGCACTTATTCCAGCGATGTTCTAGCTTTTTTATGCCATCACAATAGGTCGATTTGTCAAGGTGTGCAAAATACTCGTTCACTTCAGAGATGACTTCGTCATTTGAGTGGAATCTCTTTCCAGCCAAGAATTTTTTTAGGTTTGGAAAAAGGTGGAAGTCACTGGGGGCCAAATCAGGTGAGTACGGTGGATGTGGAACTAATTGGAAGCGAAGTTCGTTTATCTTTTGTTCAGTGATTCTGGCGGAATGTGCAGGTGCATTATCGTGGTGGAACAGAACTTTTTTCTTCTTCAAGTGTGGCCTCTTTTCTTCGATTTCTTTCTTCAGTTTTTCCAAAAGTTCACAGTAATAGACAGCATTAATGGTCTTTCCTCTTTCTAGGTAGTCAATAAAGATGATGCCTTTAGCATCCCAAAAAACCGAGGCCATCACTTTACCCGCTGATGGAACTGTCTTTGCCTTCTTTGGTGGTGGCGAACTGTGGTGTTTCCATTGCTTCGACTGTTCTTTTGTTTCAGGAGTGTAGTAATGGATCCACGTTTCGTCAGTAGTCACAAACCGACGCAAGAAATCCTGTGGGTTTTTCTGGTAGAAGTCCAAACACTCCTTTGACATCAAAGTGCGAACACGTTTTTGCTCGGCGGTCAGCAGATGCGGCACCCACCTTGCTGAGACCTTCGTCATACCCAAATCTTCGGTTAGGATGTGGTGCACTCGGTCGACAGAGATGCCTGTTGTCTCAGCTATCTCACGCGTTTTCAAACGGCGATCTGCTAATACCAAATCGTGAACTTTGTCGATGTTTTCTTCAGTGACAGCAGTTGACGGCCGTCCGCTGCGAGGGTCATCTTCCACACTTTCTCTGCCAGATTTAAAAAGGGCTGTCCATTTTTTCACAGTGGTGTACGAAGGAGCAGACTCTCCTAAAACTTCATCCATGTCAGCTTTGATTTGAGATGGGGTCAACCCTTTTTTCGTCAGGTATTTTATGACCGCACGAGTCTCCGTCTTCTCCATTTTTGACAAAGCATGTGCACATTGACTATCTGCTAAGCTGTCGTGGCAAAACTTTTTGACAAATCAAGCGGAAATTGGTATCGTATCTTTAGCAAAGATGGCTGAATTATTCCTGCCAAAAATTAAATTGATCGCAGCGCCGCATATAGGCAAGGCCGCGAACTTTCCGAACAGCCCTCGTATTTCATATTTAAAATAAAAGTTCACATACAAGCTTAGTTTCACATAATAATTAAAATTCTTTAATCTTAAGCATTTTCAAGAAAAATATGAATCAATTTCAAGCTGTTGGATTTATAAGCTGTAGCACAAACACTTGCCGGCATAGTGGTTAATTTCTGGCCCGCGAGTGCATATTTCCTGGCTGCTCTGGATTTGAATCTTGATTTTTTTTAAAGAATGTCTATAATTTTTATTTTTATTTTGAGGGAAAGCAGAAGTATGTTTTTCCATTACCAAAAAAAATTTGAAAATAAATAACTTGGTAATTTACTCAGGTATTTTTATTTTCTTGATGGTCTAATTTACTTGCTCTCTCATTCAACTTACAGTATATTTTTATTATATTTTCATGGCATTTCCAATAGCACAAACACTAACCACTAACCAAAAATTAAAGGAAATTGAAAACATTCTATTCAACTGAGAATTGGAGATATGTCAGCTGTGTTAATACTTACACTGATTTGTAAATGGAAATCCAATATGGCTTAATCCTTGCAGTTTTTCATTTTGAGCATGAGTTAATCACAAATACTTAATTTCAAGTTTTTAGTTAGTGTTGTGTCTTTGGGCAGATTCAAGTTTATTTTATACAACTCTTAATAAATCTAATTGCAGGATAGGTTTATGTATTTACTTATTTTTGCTTTTTATACTAATTTTATATACAGTAGCGTGTCGTTTATCCGAAAGTCGGTTATCCGAAACGTCAGTTATCCGAAAGAATTCCAGTCGGCAAATTTAAATTTTCACTAGTGCTGTGGTGCTGCAATCTAATCTTTGGCTATATCTTGGGCTATTCCAATATTTTTTTTGTTGATGTGTGTATTTTAGCTGGCAGCACTGGCACTTTTGTGTGGTGTTTTTCTGAGGACTGTGTGTCGTGCTGAATTGAACATTTTTGATACTAGATTAACTTCTAAAGTATAATTTTTTGGTTTTTATAATTTTCAATATATTTATTTTGTTTGTAAAAAATAAAAAAATAATTTTTAATGATACAATAGCCACGATTATTATTTTAAAAAGTTTACATTAGGCTTAACATCGTCGAAAATTCAATGCAAAGCGACACACAACGGAGAAAAATTTCAACATGGGATAGGTTAATATATTTTTTTGTACATAATCGGTTATCTGAAAAATAAGTTATCCAAACAACCCAAGTCCCAAATTGATTCGGATAAACAACACCCTACTGTATTTGATAAATAGTTTGGTAATGGAAAAATGTAATCCACCCACCTTTCCCTCAAAAATAAAAATTGAAAACATTCTTAAAAATAAAATCTAGATTCAAACTCAGAGCAGCCAAGGAATAAGCACTTGCAGGCCAGAACTTAACAACAGCATAACCATGCTGTTGCAAAGACAGCACATAATTTCTGCTTTTGTATGTATTACCACAGGGCAAAATCAATTAATAAAAAGTATTTTCATGTTTAGTAAATTTGATTTTATTAAGGCAGATGCAATATATGCAAGCTTATATTTCGAATGGCTAACAATAATGTAATTATTACAGTATATCTGTCTTAGTTTGAAATTTACTGAAACTTTTGAGAAGTAATAAAAATATATATTCAAAATGAATGCATGACATTTTGTAGATACATTAGCAACATGAAAAAATTCTGTTGTTATCAAGTAAAGTTAAAGGAAATCCATATACAAATCTGATTCTTTTTCTATAGAAAGAAGAATGTCTTGAGTTTAAGATCCCTAATAATTTTTTAAGAGAATATCTGTGAACTTAAAAATCTAAAATAAAAGAAGAGATTTAGTACAGGAATCAATGTTTATATTAAAAATTCAATATACTACTGTAAATGAGGATCAAATTTTTCAGATAAAATCAGCATTTGACTTTATCTGAGGATTTGTCTTGGATCAAAGTCAGCATGTAGAGGTTGCAAAATTACATGTTAATTTGAATTTTTGTAGCTTCTTATGTAATGAATACAAAACATGTAAGATTTTTTAAACAAAATTTAACAATACTTTTACTATGTAGAATTCTCATTTTACCTGAGACCTCAAAATATCTTTGAATGTCTTGTATTATATAGAATTATCCAACAGTTTTGTTTTAAATCCATCAAAAATACTGTAATATCATCAGTTGCTGTGGAGAATCTCTTATAGCATACAAACTTGTTGAGATAATTTTGAACAGTTTTGTATGCAGGAAAAAGTGGGATTATTTATTCAAATTCCAAACAGAAATATGCATTATATGTTTGATTTTGACCTAAGTTTTAGTTTGTGCAATTATTAAATTTATAATTGGGCTTTAAAAGCCCAATTATAAATTCAAAGATATTTTGAGGTCTCAGGTAAAATGAGAATTCTACATAGTAAAAGTATTGTTAAATTTTGTTTAAAAAATCGTACATGTTTTGTATTCATTACATAAGAAGCTACAAAAATTCAAATTAACATGTAATTTTGCAACCTCTACATGCTGACTTTGATCCAAGACAAATCCTCAGATAAAGTCAAATGCTGATTTTATCTGAAAAATTTGATCCTCATTTACAGTAGTATATTGAATTTTTAATATAAACATTGATTCCTGTACTAAATCTCTTCTTTTATTTTAGATTTTTAAGTTCACAGATATTCTCTTAAAAAATTATTAGGGATCTTAAACTCAAGACATTCTTCTTTCTATAGAAAAAGAATCAGATTTGTATATGGATTTCCTTTAACTTTACTTGATAACAACAGAATTTTTTCATGTTTCAAACTAAAACAGTATCAGGTTATATATAAATTTGCTTATAGATGTTATCAAATCAACAAAATTAGAACTTTCTACTTGAAAAAAGAGTTACATTCATAGTTGACAAGATTGTCCTTGCCAAGGTTTATGAATTAAATAAGTCTTACATTATAGAATTGTAGAATGGTATAATGCTAAATAGCTTAAATTATATAAATTTCATTTATTTATCATAAGTTTTTTATATTATATTTTTTTATATTTTTATATGTTGCAGGGATATGATAAAAGTGGAGATTTGATCAAATTCCTAAGGGAGATGATCAATTTACTGAAGATGTTAAAATAAAGGTTCGATATTGACATTTCCTTAATTGAATGAAGTGATTTGATCAAATCTCTAAACTGATTTCATGAAATGACAAAAACGAATCAACAAAGTAAGAAGTACTTATATGAAAAGATAGAGATAATGCCAAGTTTATTTATTTTTATTGAAACACGTTGTAGATTTGTGGCACCTGGAGTCACAGAGGATGTTATTTTTTTCACAGGCACATCTATTTGTTTTGCACTGTACCTTGGATTTTTCACAGGACCATTTCTTAAACGTTGACCTCCGAGTAAAGATAATTTTCCAGCAATTTCTCACAAACTTAGCTTTATCAGTGGGACGGTTTTGGTAAATGTGGTTGTAGCTATTTGAAGAACGTTTCTAGGAAGCCAATCTTTTATAATGCCAGCTGAAGTACCAATTTGGTATAAACCATTTTTTTTTTAATCTAATACTATCTCCATAATATTATTTCCATCTAATGGACCTCTATCTACCTTAGGTATATCAACTAAAACTGTGGAATTCACTAACACATCCTTAAATTTCTTCGATGAAAAATCTTCCATTTTTTCAGCTGATATTTTTAGGTATTTTGCTGCATGTTCCCTTTAATCTATAATTTTCTTTTCTTTTTGGCATAAATAGCATAAAATTTTCAATCCATATCCTTCTTCTCCTAGCTATTTCCACATATTGCGTGTACTGGATTTTTACAAATGTCACATGAATGAGCTCCAGTAGATTCTCTTCCACAAACACCACAATGTAGTTTTACTTCGCTGTCAACTGCTTCTGTTTTTGATTCTATTAACAGTACAGATGTTTTAACTGGCAGTACAGGTGTTGTAGAGTTGTAAATTGGTTCAAGCTGTGTTATTGATTCAGTTGCTAGTAGATCCTCTAAATTTGAAGTTGAAGCATTGTAGTTATAGTAATTAATTCAGCTTCTGAATTAACTTCTGAAGTTGAAGCGTCATCATTGTTCATTAATTGAGTTGCTGGTAAATTCTTTAATGTCAAAGTGTTGTCACTATGTTGCTGTTTAATTTAAGAAGCTGATACAAGTCCTCTTCGATAACAAGCTTTTCAAGCAACTTCTTTGAAATATGAGTCCTGTTTTTGGTTCTGTTCCAAATAGGCTTTGTAAGATGATCGTTGAATGGTACGATGAAAGGAGGGATTCTTCTGAAACTGAACAAAGTAACAACCTGTAGCCCAAATATTTGTGTCATTATCAATAAGCCAAGCACTTAACATAGCTTCAACATCTTGATTTGATCACTCAACAGATCCTTGGCTTGTTGGATGTCTAGACCTACCATTTACAATTTTACATGTTGGCCACAGGGATGTCAGTTCTTCTATGACAGCAGCCGTAAACTCATGGCCGTTGTCACTTTGCAGTATATGAGGACAACCTACTTCCAGAAAAATTTTTAATAGGTCCATTGCTACTTCAGCTGCTCTTTTCGAAGTCAACAGCCGCAGAAAGCTGAATTTCATTGTGTGATCCTGGTAATATAATAGCCATTTGTAATTTCTGTCTGGGATTGACTGCAAGTCAACTAAATCCACATGGCACAATGGTTGAAGTCGCAGGACACAATTGGGCAAACGACAATTCCTTCTCTTGGAAATTTTTTTAGACTGACATACCATGCACAGTTTCAAAAACTCCAGAACAACTGAAGTGGGTATAAACTATCGCAATTTCAAACTATACAGCATCAGTCAACTGGCACGGAGGCCTCTGCCTCTGTAGCCAGTTGACTGATGCTGTATAGTTCAGTCAACTGGCTACAGAGGCAGAGGCCTCTGTGCCAGTTGAATGATGAGTTTCCTAAAGTGTGTGATAAAATTCTTCTACAGGCACTATTTTCACAGCTGGATCAGAGTCAGACTTTCTCTTCAAAATCAAAGATTTTTAGTACCTACTTCCACTAGATCGTATTTTTTTCTGTAGTAATACTGTTTATTTGTCCGTTGAAACTTAAGTACTGGTGCTAATTAAATTGTTCAATGGCTGTGTTAGCTTCTATTCTTTCGCGAGTCCACAATGGTTTTTCTTTATTGTGCCGCTCACTCAAACATATCCTGATAGTTTCATTGAACTGTTCTTCACACACAAATTCAGTTTGAGTCTGATTTTGTCCTGTATTCAAAGCCATTATTTTGATAATCGTGCAAATTACAAGGAAAATAAAATATAAATGCACGTGACTATTGTGACATAATGATTTGTGCAACTGCGTGTGCCAGAGGTTGCCGGCAACTAGCCTGTTGAAGGGACGAGGGAACAGTTAACCAGCGCAAGCAGTGCTATGCAAGTCCTGACTTGTTTATTTTATCTTTTCACTAAAATAATACAGGGATTTGTTCAAATCACTTATTTTTTTAGGGAAATGACTCTATAGGATTGTCATCTTAACATCTTTGGTGAATTGATCATTTATCTTAGGGATTTGACCATATCCCCACTTTTATCATATCCCTGCGACATATATACAGAGTGATGAATTTAAATAATTGAGTAATAATCTATTTACTTATTTTAAAATCTAGAAGTGGGTGCTATACCTTATGATTTAAGTAATTTATAATTAAAAATTGGAATTTATCAATTTGTTATACAGCAGTCCTCTTATATATAATTCTCTTTCTAAATTATATATTAATGAAGCCAAAATGAAAAAATACACACATTAACATTGTTTTAAAGTACTGTAATCATGTAAAAATTATGTATACTTTATACATATCATATCAATTTTTCATAATTATGTAATCATTTTATTTTTTCAGACCTTATTAAATAACGAGAAGCTATTTGAAACTATGGCAACTACAAATGTTTGATAAATTAAAACAATTTCTGTATAAAGTTCAAAAAAGAAAGTCAAGAACATTGTTCAAGTATGTGGATACATACTAATAAATATTATACATAATTTTACCAAACATATTGTTAAAGAAGATTTTTATAAAGTTTACCTAAAGTATTTTTCAATCACTTTTGTATACCAATTAATAATAATTCATGTTTGTCCTTAAAATAATGTCATATAGTTAATTCAAGAGTATTTTAAAATATCACATTTAAAGATAGTTTTCAAACTATATAATGGAGAAAAAAATTTTTTTGTATGTATTTAGATATTTATCTAGCCTAGTTTTTATAGTAATGCACTATGTAAAATTATCTTGATTAAAAACAGGGGCATTTTCAAATTAAACGAGTGTATAAAATTTGCATGTAAGCTTTCCTATTTTTGTTTTTTTTTATATGTATATCAAAAGCAATAATTATTTAACTTTCAAATAATATGTTTATCTATGAAATATTTCATAAAGAAATAATATAAACTAATGACTGTTATGAAATTACAAAGCAGTAATGTTAGGTTTTCAAATATGCCATTTTAACTGTGAGGTTGCATTCAATAGTGGGGCGTATGCAATCTCAAGTTAGTCATTTGACTGTTTTTTTAATAGCAAATTTTTTTTGTTACTTTAAACAAACTGTATTTTTTTAAAATTTACCAGACATTTTTATTATTTGTTGCTAAATTTTTACATTTCTTACAAATATAACTGTTTTAATGTTGTATTTTTATTATTTTTGCTGTCATTCTTCCTTTTTTTCACTTCAAAGATACATTTTCTGATAAAATGTTCTTGATTTTGATGTTCTGTGGAATTTCTGTTATTGTTTGTATTTTCCAAAGAGAGGACTTTATGCCATTTACAGAATATACAATTTTCTTTCACTTGGCCTTTTGTAATTTTCTATTAAAAGATAGTCTTGAAATTAATGGATAGAGAAATCCATTAGGTTTCAGTGTATGAATTTATACAGTTGGTTTCAGCAATGCTTATCATTATGCTATGAGTATATAATCATGAGATAATGATGTTGGTCAACGGTGATTAGAACTAGTTAATTTAGTAATATAATATTACCCATACAAAACTACTAATAACTGGAAAAATTGAAACAATGAAAATATCATAAATTGCTATATTATGGTCAAAATTATTAAATCATAATTTTTAAACAAACAAAATTCATAGTATCAGATATGTTACTTATAAAGAGGCATCTATGTAAATTATTTCCATTTTGAGAAGTCTAAGAGAAGATGGGCAGCAGAAAAATAATTGAGACCTCATAAACCTGTAGGTAACTTCAGAGATTAATAAAAAAAAAAATCAACAGCTACTAATAATAAATTTAATAAATTCCAACTAATTTAGAGTCCAAACGATTAGATTTTCACCATAATAATGAGATTATATTTGGAAATACCTCCTATATTTAGTTTCAGAAATTTATTTTTAGTCTTTCAGAACAAAATTTTTTTTAATTAATCAACTTTCTCTAGCAAATAAATATATATTTGAATGGCATTGTCTCCCCCAAATGCACAATAAAAAATTTATCCAATGTGAGGAATGGCCATTTTTTCAAGCTTTTAAAGGTAAATTTTTATGTTGTTATTTAATAGAAATTATAGTAGTGAAGATTGATGCATGAGAATTATGGGTAAATGATAATGCTGTCATTCCTTTCACTCTAACATTTTGTTAATTAAGTTGCAATTTTTTCCATATTATCTGAATATAATGCTACATAATTTATGTTCTAATTTGCATTTTTTTGCTTTGAACTACAGTAGGATCCTGCCTTATGCAGACTTGCTACACACTGTTTCATGTTTACACTATTGGCAGTCTTGGGGAAACTGTAAAATAAATAAAATAAAAATTCACAATTGCATGCTAAATTGGTACCATTTTTTAAAGGTGCACAAAGTCTTCAGCACCTTGCTCAATCACATTCATTCTTGTTCTGGAAAAGCATCACTGTGATTCATTACTTTCATAAGAGTCCCAGTATTTAGTGCAAAACAGCCTTTATCTGGAGTTGTCACTTGTAATATCAGTAATATGTAGTGTCCATTTAATATCAGTACTTCTCTTATTTTCATTTAAGCCTTATTACTTTGCAAACATGGCTCCAAAATGCAATAGTAGTGATGCTGGTAGCTCTGATAAGCCAAAGACAAGCAATAAAGTGCCTATTTTGGGAAAAAAATTAAAATTTTAGATTTAGACATACCTAATATTTAATGGGGTCTGCTATTTTATGGGAATTCTCTCTTAGGCAAGGGGTTTAAAACTTATTGGTTGTGTATGGCGGGGCCTACTGTATTCTGAAAATCAATAAGTTTTCATCACACAAATGAAAGCTGTTGAGAGCTTAAGGTACATTTTCCATTTATTTAAGCATTATTTTAGTTAAGATAAGTGACTTATTTATTGATAGACATTCAAATGTCATTTGAAACTAGTCAAATTTAATTCATGGGCATTTTTAAAGTGTTATATATCCAATCAAAATTGCAACTATTTTTTACAAAAGCAATACAATACAATTAATCACACTGTATATTCTCTGTATTTTGGTGTAGTATTAAATTTCATTGATTGATACCAAATCTTGATATTTTAGGAATAGAATTTGTGCTTTTATTCTTTAATACAGAAAATTTCATAATAAAACATTCCTAAAGTATCTTAAAAATTTCATTAATCATTTAATCTCTAATGTTTTCAGCTGTATTTAACCAATCTTCTTCAGGATAAACTTACGAAACAATGATTGCATTCAAATTTTGAGTGCAACTGTCCTTTGTTTTCCCAGTAGTTATAAATTTTTCATAAAGTAGAATTTTATAGATATCCTATTATATATCAGCAATTAGTGTAATCTCTTCTATATCAGTAACGTATATTCAGAGTAATAAAGTAAGTGTATAAACATTCTGTAGAATAACTACATTACATGTGATAGTTTTACTTTATTGCACGAATCTCTTTCAAAAATATTTGAATCAATTAACTAAATAGTAAGAAAATTCTTTTCCTAAATTACATTATCTGATGATAACACAAGTTGCATTTCAGTAAAAATACTGGCTAAATGTCAAATTATAAGTGACCAAATAGTCATGTGATAATGTAGAAAAAATAGCAGCTATACATATACAATAAATGCTATCAATAACAACTGATTAATGCTTTTGAACACTAATGAAAATAAAACATATCTAAATCAATTTAAGATTTTTAACAATTTAATTAATTTAAATGATTCTGATTAAATTTTATAAGCTTCAAGAAAATATATTGCTATTTGAAATTGATATCAATTAGATAACTATTTAGATACTATACAGTAATTATTTTATCCAATATATTTTCATGAACTACCATTGATTCTGCTAGATTTATAAATTAATTCCTCTCTTTCTCTAAATTTAAAATAGCATAAGTCATATTTTTCTAACCAAGTGTCATGTAAAATCAGTTTTTTCATCTAGTCACAAAAACTGATTTTAAATGACAAGAATTCTTTCATGACGATCCAAGTTGATAAAGTGGCACATGAGCAAGACTCAAACCTTCAAATGTGTTACCAGATGTATTGGCAGAGTTACAATACTTGAAACTCCATCTGATGGATGTCTAGGTTGCTTGACTCTGGCAATATATCTGCCCATTTAAAAGCTATGAAAATTATTTATTCAATTTTTTAAATTATCAATGCTGTAAACATTAATAATTATTGTAGATTTAATGATAAAAATGGGCTAAATTTCTATTATTTAGTTATTTTTATCATAAAATGATGACTAAATACATCATATGTTAACTATGATATGCAGCTTCTAAACATGCATATTTGTTTATACAGTTAATTTTCATTTTTCTCAAATAATGGAACTGAATTTTAACATATCATTAATCATTGTACTTGGCTCTTATGTATAGAACACAATAAAAGCTTTATTCATTTAAATAATTATTATTTATATTATTTGAGACATAACTGTCTGTTCAGAGATGATTTTATATTTTTGTATAGCATATCATTTAGGCCAAAGAATTCATCATTTCATACACACAAATAACCCAACATATATATATACATACATATTTACTAGAAGTGCCTTTATTCAGTAAATGCTATAAAATCATCATTAGTTTTGATTATTGATGTGATTCTTATGGATCCACCATGGTTTAACAAATCTATTAAAAGAAAGAAAAGGTAAGATGATGCTATAGATGAAATTATAATAATACAGTAAAATATTTCTGATTTTAAATAAAGCACAAATATTTAAAAAATTTTTGATTTGCAGTAAATAGGATGATGCCATGTGCATCTAGTTGTCTCATTAAATAAATACAAGGACAATTCCAGAATTTCAGGATGCAATCTGTAAATCCTTAAACCCAATACTACTATAGAATCTGAATGGTTGTAGCATATATTAAAGAACTATTGCAAGATTCCAGGATGCAGTTTGTGAATCCTGATGCTACTGTAGAATCCTGAAATAGTCCTGTTATTTCTTTAATAAGACAACTTAATTAAGTGTTTTTGAGTTAATTATTTCAAAAAAAAATTTCAAGAAGTGCTCTTCAAAAAAGACACACAATCACCAATCTGAAATATTTTTATAAGATGCAACTCCAAGTAACAAATTCATACTTTTTTCAAAAATAAAGGTCACAAGTATTAATTTTATTTGTTGTGAAGTTTATAAATTTAATCCAGAAAATTGATTTCTGGATATTTATTTATTATTGTTTTTACTTAAGTTTCCTCTGAAAAGCTCCTGCTTTTAATCTGTCTTAACATTTTTAATGATATTTATAAATGAAAAAAAAATTGTTAGAAATTAAAAAATAGTTTTTATAATATATGTTTTAAGTCTTACAAAATATCCAAATACTAGTTTTGTGTATGTAATATTTAAAGAGAAATTCTGTAATTTTGTATCTTAGAAAGTTGCCTCTTAGAGAATCTTTATAGAGATTGATATTTGTTAACAAATTCTGTATTAAATAAACAGTTGTGAAATATTAAAATAACTTTTGAGAAATTTGTTTTTATTTAATATATATACAGTATATATATAAATTTCAATATTAATCATCATGACAACTTTACATATGCAATTGTAAGTTGGGATAAAGAAAATTATCCAACTTTAAAGAAATACAAAAAAATTGGAAAGTGGTGTGGCTTCCTGTGTCTGAAATGCACACAGAATATGACACATCTATCTAGTATGGTATCTGGAGTGAGCAGGTTCCTGGTCCTGTATATTTATCAATTGCACCTGAACTGTTGACAACCATCTTAATACCGATGGTCCGACAGTATGAAGGGACTGTTGAGGAAGGGAATTGAAGTAATTCGACCAAAAGTAATAGTTGACCTCCTCCCGGAAGAGACGATGATTAACGTCTACTAATTAATACTGCGCTACATTTGAAAAGTGATCCGTGTTAAACACTTTTTGATATCCTCGCATGTGATCGAAGTTGCTTAACGTCCGAAAGACTTCATATAAAACATCTTCAAATAAAAAAAATCTTGTAAAAATGCGAGAATAATTGCTTTTATCTGATTTTTATTATCAGTGTTTATATTTTTGCAACAGATTTTATGCATGTTCTCGTAAATATCGTGTTTATAGAAAAATTATTGGGCTGCAATTTGAAAAACTGTATACCTATAAATTTCCACTGTCCTCCCTTTTTTTGTCTGTCCTTCCTTAATCTCGAGAAAGGAGTTAGGTAGATGAAAATCGGGACCAAATATAGAAACATTGGGGCAGGAAATCCAGATTAACTAAATAAAACTTTAGTTTGTACCGAAAGTCACGTTACTTCGATTCAAAAGTTCCCCAAACGGAGTTAGATATTTAAAAATATTTTCCATACTGTGTGGTCGCTTATTGAACACTCAGACTCACTAGAAATGTCACTAATACTGAAGACATAGGGCCATTACCGAGGCCCCATTCGTAACGCCCCGTTAATAAAAACTATATTTATAAGTAACAAAATTATATTTATTGTATGGTTTTCATTGATACATTTAAGACATTAAATCATATTGTTTACAAGATTTAATAAATTCTAAGAAATTTTGCCAAGGTAACACATATATACAATTTAATAACTGTACATTAAACAAAGCATTTACCATAATTACGAATTTAATTAATTTATAATAATGATTAAAAACACAAAAACTTAAAATTCAAATTCCGAAAATATTTCTTCAAATTGCTTCAAATTAATTATAATTGATACAAATTAATAATTGAGATAATTTATAATTAGTTTTAAAAAATATTAAAATATAAATTATGATATTTATTTATTATGAATTTATATAATTTACAGATTATTTATAAATGTTGTTCGTTAATTACTTTCCGAGAAGATCCATTTCTTCAATATTGCAATGGTTCGAAGTTGTAAAATGAATCAAATTATCAAAATATCACAAAATCAACATTCGATTCATTGAAAGTTGTACATAATTTTATTCATTAGAATTCATTTTTCAACGTAACATTCGAATAAATAATAATATCGAGAAAATATTTAATAAAAATGTAAAAACATTTCAAATTACTTCATAAATTTACGTTTTAAAACGGGAATTTCAGTTTATCCGAAACTGTTTTAAATTATTTATCTTCAGGAATAGTTTTTGAGTCAGATTATATTATTCTTCAGATTCTCTTAATAAATTTAATTACTTTCTAAGAAATTTTAATTATAATGATATTAATTTATATGTTTTATTGTCGAGTATTAGTTTATGATGGAATTTTGTTTTTATAAAATCATTTACATTTAGAATTTGTACCTTTTTTCATAATTTATAAGTGCAAATTTATCGTAATTCATCACATAAAACTTAGTTTAATTATATATTTAAGGCTTCTATGAACTATGAGATCCGAAGTGCTCCAAAAATTCAAATTTTATATAAACTTGCAATAAATGTAACGAAGAGTGAATTGTGTGGCCAAAAACTAAGGTCAAATTCTTGCTCCAAAGTCAAAAAAATATTCGGTCAACGGAGTCCATCTTGCTGGAGAAAAATTTGATGAAACTTATCTTTGGATCCCACACGAATTTTTTATGCTTTGTTATAATTTTATATTGATTTATTTTGTAATTTTGCAAAAGATGAACCGTCACATATTAAGAATGGTTATAATTTTTTTGAATTATTTTTCTAAAATAAAGAATTTGAAGATGAAAAATTAAAACCGTTTGCTGATTTTCGTGATAACAACATGACATCTCTATTATTTATGAAAGACACTCTTTCTCCTTTATGGCCTGCCACAGTTAATGAAGAATCTTCGAAATTAACGATGCACTAAATTAAATGAAAGAAAGAAAATTAAATTAAAAGGAAAGACGAGATTTTAAAAGCGTAAACTTCATTCTGTGTTAGAAAAATTGCATCATTGTTAAGAAATTATTACCATAAACATTTATGCTAAAATCCATCTTGTAAGACAAGATATTCTTCTAAATTCAACTAGATTAACTGAATCAGTCAATATTCTCCAATTAAACTGCGCGAAAATAAAAAGTATAGAAGTACAGTACCATAATGTGTCGAGGTAATGCGCATGATAATGTTTTAACAAAGGTAAGATCTCTTCACAAGGCGTTGAACGTAACATCTACAATTACTCAATAGTAAATCCAAGTGTTATGAAAAGACAATCATCTCGCAATAGATGATTACTACATTAATTGATTCGACATACCATTTCATAACACAACAAGGAGTATGCACCGCTATCTCTGCAAGTTATTTTCGAATGATTTGCATGCCTATTCGTTCAACTGTTCACTAGAGCTAATCAGATGTCTAATAATCACTTGCATACAAATTTAATTCAGTTTGAAATGTAGAATTAAGTTGTTTTATCTTTAGCAAATAAAATTTTTTCTGTGAATTAACGACTGCCGAAACATTGCTTTAATCATGTTTTATGGTGTTAGATTTTATGAACAATAATACAATAAATCATACAATAGCGTCAGAGATAACTGCATCCACAATAAATTATGGAGGCATTTATCATTGACGTTTCTTCGCAGTACTTGTACCATCATTTTTTTTACGTAGAAAGTTTTCTGTCTTTTATAATAATGTAATATCTTCAATTTAATTAACAATGGAGCCGTATCAGAAACTAGCATTGTGAGAAACGTCTACGACATGGCTTTTGACATTATTTAATAATCGTATATCAAATACAAACTCGTAAACACATACTTAGTGGAATGTACTAGCCATCATTTTCAGAATCATCCTCAAACAACAGCCATGAATATATTAAGGACATTCATTCATTGTAATTCATAATTCCATTATGTAAAATGTGAAATCTGTATTGAAAATCATAGATGATTTATAAGTTATACAGATTGGTACAAAAGTCAGTTAATTGTGCTATCGGCTTATATCAAAGGATATATATATGTATGTACTGTATGTATATGTCTAAGTGTTATAATTTGTATATTGAACAAGAAGAATCTCATTTTAAACAATTTTTTTTTTAACGTGTGATTTAAAACTTCGTTATATATTATTTTCATCTTTTGAAATATTTTTTTTTTGAAGTGATGCAATTTATCTATCACAACATACCTGAAAAAACTCACCTGAGTTTTTCTTAGGAAATCAATTCCAAGACTAATATCAGGAACACTTGACTCCACTGAAAATTTTTGAATATTTAATATTACATTATTTAAACTTGTTGGTTCTTATTACTTTTGTAAAATTAAATAATAAAATTAGATAAGGAATAACATGAAGTAATTAAGTTCAACGTCAAAAAATATGCAATTTATATTATTAAATTATAAAATTAGTAACGTCTAATTTTATTAATATTTTTTTTATAAAATTCATGTTGATATACACTTATTATATATTGATAATATATTGAATATGTGAGCGAATTAATCTATTTTTCTCTTAACAATTAACAGGAAACCAAAGAAACATTTAATACTTGAATTATTAATGGTAATAATTCATATTTTATAGCTGGAAAGCCATTCAATATGTAATATTAATAGAAAACTATCAAAGTTTAATGATATATTCACTAACAATATCATTTATATTTGAAAATAATATTTGTAGTTCTCTTTGTATATATATAAAAGTTTAAAAATACACTAGAAATCAAAGTTGAATTACAAGTGATTTTTACTGTTATGACAATTAATATCATTAACATTCAGAATATAATATTTATGACCTTTGTCTCTTCAACGTATACCTGAGAATTCCATTCTATGTACTGTACATTACAGGAATTGCAATAGGTTGAAGCAATTTTCTAGATTTGTCATAACGTCTGTACAGATTTTATCTTAATTAACATGAATATTTTCTACTTACCAACGTTAAATTGAGCTATTTGCTGCCAACTACCAATCGATAATTCGATGTATTTTATTTTCCCCTTAAATTCCGGTTGAGGTGTAGATAATGGATTCATAGTTGTACTAGGTTCTGGTATAACGCTATCCATTAATCTTTAACAAGTAATAAAACGTTCAATAATAACAAAAAAAGGATACAGATATCTTCATAAATATTGTAATTTTATAAATATTACCTTAACCTTTCGATCAGATCCATCGATATGGTAGACACCGTGGATGAGGTATTAATCAGAGCATATGTTTCCAAATTATTACACTTTTCAAGTGGCAAAGAAAAAGATGTTATTAATATCTTACAAGAGATCATTTAGAGAGAAAGAAAGGACCTCACTTCACATTTAATTACAGGTGGCACGTGCATTCTACCCATCCTGGAATCGTCATCGAACAGAGGCATTGGCATTGTCGATATGAATGTCGGTTTCGGGTTATTGGGTTCAAAACTTTTATTTTCGAAAGTACTCGAACGTCTCTAAATTCGGTGATAATATAGGCCTACTTGTATGATATTTTAAGAAAATTTTCAATATAAAATTTGATAAATTTACCCTTGTTAGTTGTACTGTTTCTTTCTCTAAGATTTGTTCTACGGTCGCTCTACTCCTGACTCTTCTCTGTTGACGTCTTAGAGCAATTTGGCGAATGTCAGTGTCATCATCACTCATTGTTTTGCCTGATGAGGCTTCCACATGTTGGTTATTCGAATTACGACAATTTCATATCTATAAAAACAATATAAAAATTAAATTTTCTTGTATAGAATCTTGCAACACCCATAGAAGAGTCAGCGAGGGTGCCAGTTTAAGGAAGAAAGGGTTGAAAATTATGGTTACAAAGTCTTATTTATGTGTTAATAATCTAGTTTTAATATTCGATCTTCTCGGAATTACCAAGAAAAGATCTTATTTCGGACTAGAATGTAATCAAATTGTATTGATATTAACTGAGAAACAGTACAGAAGTTTAAATCGATAAATTGACAAACTATTATGAATTTCATTTTTTCCTTGAGTAAAACAGAACTATATTATTATTATTATCATTATAAAATTATCAAAATATCAACGCAATTAACACGAGATTCTTCCTTCAGCAATACTATTCGATCATTCAATAATCCTTGTTTATGGACACAAGAGAAATCTAGACTAACTAATTTAAAAAGGTGATAGAAATGGTCTTTTCCATAGTAAAATTATCATCATAAAATGATCGTTTTTCATGGTAAAATGGGAGATACCTTATTTGTTAAGCTGTATACGAGTATATTTTGAACTTCTTAATTTCTAATCTGGAAAAAGAAGGTCGAAGTTAGATCCTAGAAGTAAAATATTTCTCTTTCTACAAGAATATAAGCTCATATAATAGAATGTTCTATTGACTTTCAGCAGCTGTTATTGATCATAAAGATCCTTCTTATTCGGTTTGAAAGTTGAAAGAAAACCAGACAATTTGTTCATTGTATTGTCCTAGAATGAAACGTCTGACATAGAAATCGATTGGTGCGCATTATATACGGAAATCACTCAAAAGTATCCATTTCTATTTGCTTAAATACTTAAAATTAAATAATTAAAATGCTTAAAATTTGAAAAATACATGCAGATACTATTAATTGTTCGCATTAAGTACAGAAATTAAGTTTTAATGTAACTAATAGATTATTTTCTTGTACTTCTTATATAAATAGTCTACGTAGGAATGTATAGACTTCATAAAACTACATTGTAAAAATAAAAATTATAATTTCATTTAGCATTAACATTAGCATTAACTCGATAAAAAACTTATTACATAAACTGAAAAATATATTTAATACATTATTTTTCTGATTACATAATAAGAATTTCAGTAATTCCACTAGAAAATGGGCATTTAATATATTTGTAAGTATACATCTACATTCAACTGTATATCTAACAGCAACTGTTGTTCTTTCGATGTTTACCAATTTGCATGGAGTTCGTTGCGTGCAACGGTACACATGAATGGTATAGTAGTTGCTTTGGTGTATACTCGCCTCTATGACCAGGAAATAATAAGAAAAAAAATTAAAAAATGAAATTATAAATAGTAAATATTTAACGATTCGTAAGAACAAGAAAGGATCTATTGATAAATAAATTGTTAAAGTGCAACATTCGGAGAAAAATATTTTAAAAATGATTAAATATAATAACTTAAATAGAAATTTATAACGATTGGTAATTTTTTAGTGTGCATTAACCTTAATTTACGTAATTTTTGTCCCTATATACAGTCGAACCTTCAATAATGGCCACTTTTTTCAGGAACGTTGAACAAATATGCATACAGAATAACCTCTAAATAACGGCTATTTTTTATATTCCTGTCAATATTTTTTATATTCCTGTCAATATTTTTTATATTTCTGTCAATGTTTTTATATTCCTGTCAATGACCGTTGAGAGGTTTGACCGTATTTAATCGATATAAAATGAATTATTCAAAATTTATGTAAGGAATGGCTTTATAGATAATTAAATCGAAAAATTATTATTCTCCAATTTTTAATAATTTTTTTACATTTTATTAATAATTATAAAATATTTTTATATACATTTTCATATTTAAAACATAATTCTAGTCTATAGGGCATTTTTATTATTATTCGTGCAAAAAAAATCGCTTTAAAGGAGAGTAGTGCCTTATAAATCGTAATAAATTATATTTTACTATAGCTTATATTCATAATTTTTCATAAAAATGCAAAATTTTTAATAAACATAAATTTAATTAATCTATAAAATATTTTTCTAAATAAAAAAGTAACGCAATCATACGGTTACATTAAAGAGGTCGGCGTGAAAAGTACACTTCAATTATAATGTTAGGATCAAGATTGAGCTGGAAAAATAATAGTTGAATTATTTAGTTAATTATTAATATAACTAATGAGAGATAACTAAACTAACTAAAAACTCATTAATGAAAGATAAAGATAGTCAATCGTATTCATCTATCGATCTATCGATTGATTAGTTGGCGCGAGACAACAATGTATAATAGTCTATACACCCCAACTTTCGCCCATTTCGAGCGAGATTGACCCATAATTCGGTGGTCCAGCATGAAAGAATATAAAAAACATAGCAATAATACAAATTACATATAAAAATCATGAGTGCTCCAGTGCTCCAAGATGGCACGTTACCACGCTATAATCCACTCGACTATATTTATCGAAAATAGCCTAAATCTTCAAATTTCTTTCTATTAAATTCATAAAAACATTATCTTTAATGATTTTCTTGAGTTTTTTTAGGTTTTCAATTCCAGAATTTCTTAAATGAATAAGTACATCAATTGATTTTAAGCGAATGGTCAATCAATTCAGAGCAGTGACGTGAGTAGTAGCATCATTTCAAGTAATGTAATAACGATCACTTTACTGATTTATGGCTGACGTATAATGTGTTTTCGAATACATTATGTAATATTTATAAATGTATAAATCAATACATTATAAACTTCTTGGCCGAAATTTCCTCTTCGACGAGTTAATTTTCTGTTTTCGTATGATTTGGCCATTAATCTACGACTTTTTATTAGATTCTAATGATGATATTCTGATTTTTTGAATAGATAAGATCAATATTATTAAAATAGCGTCTAAAATGATGACTAATGAATGCTGTGCACATGTATTAAATCATCAACAATAAAATATGTCTACAAGATCAATATAATTTTATGTACCGAGGAAGTCACGAAGCAAGCATCATTATCATGCTGACGTAATTTTAATAAAATATTATTAATTTTTCAGATTAAATCGGAGATATAATTAAAAACAAACTAAAAATTAGTTTCACGTGCTATTTGAACGTTCCAGTTTCCAGGAAGGCCTTTGGTTCGGGCTGAGGACAAAGGAAAACCCAAAAATTTATTATTTGATTAAAAAATATGATATAGAAGCGATATAAAAAAAATCCATTGTCACTGACTCTCAGGCCCTAAATATAAGATATCTCTTAATTAGTTGGTACTTAGGGCCTCCAAATATGTTGAATAGCCATAACTTATTTCCAATTATTTAATGTTAAGAATTTATTTTCATTATATAAAACTATACAAACAGAATTATTTGTAATGTAATTTAAAAAAACTACATTTATTGTAATATAATTCCTATAAATAAGCCTAGAAAAAAGTGGGACTAGTAGCAAGGTGCTGAAAGTAATGAAGTCCCAGCACTTTGCAAATGACCGGATCGACAATAATTTTGTCAAGAATATATTACTCCACAAAACTATTGTAATTGTGGAATAATTTTCCTCATTCCATTACATTATAAAATATAAAACTCATCCATTTACAGAAACTCGTTAAAGCTATTCTAGCTTAACACCATTCGTCATATGTTATTGCACACCACATAATAATTGCTCTTGCGAGATCGCTCTCCTTAATTACTCCAGATATTTTGGATTGCTATTTTTAGTTTTAATTAATGAATGAATACTTGATTAATTAAATATGATTTTGGAATTTTATCATTTATATGTTGATTGCCAGTATACAGGCTCTTAATTTAATTGTATAAAACAATAAATAATCAAATATACGTTTATGTTAGTATGCCTAGATAAACAGGATTTCAATAAGGCCTTGGTCAGGGCCTCAGACACTGGAGAACCCCAAAATTTAGCATTTTTCTCAGGCTCTGAATAGACTGAGAAGTACCCAGTCTAGGCCCTATTTGGGGTTATTTTAAATAATCAAAATAAAATATGATATAAAGATACCCTTTCTGAAAAGATATTCGTACTCAGGATTTTAAAGCCTGATCTACATTGTTGAATTCATTTAATACTCTGTTCTAGACAGTTGTACATGCTAAAATCTATCAAATTTTTTCATTCTGCACGAACAGTAAAAAAGACACTAAACTTAAAGAAATTACAGAAACTTTGATTTTTAATTGTCAAAACAATATAAAATTCCTTCATTTTGTTTTATTGAGAATTTAATTCGATTAAATATTTATATATTTCGTGATTTTCGAGCTTTTCCTAACCAAAAATCAATCCAGCTAGAGAGCATTTCATTTCAGAAAGTAAATACACGAGCAATACTACACGTCAACAATACAAAAAACAAAAAAAGACCTTTGTAATTTATAATATTTACTTAAAATATGAAAAATATATACTTAGATAAAACAATTTAAATAAATTCGAATTAATTCTTTATTTATTTTCCATTCATACGTCACGATCAAGATATGATCTCATATATTGATTTTAATGTTCTTTATATAAGTCATACATCATCATTCGCTCGTTAAACGTGATTTATTCACAGATTTCACAATTAAAATTGTCTGTTATTAAAGATTTTTTATCAGCCTGACAAAAATTAATTATTCTTAAATTATATTTATATAATATTTGAAGAGATGAAGCATCTTGGCAATCTTTCCGACCTTCAAAGGGATACAGCATAGTATTTTGCTGATTTCGTGGATCTTTGAAAGGACGAAACGTAGTAACTTGTCCTTAACAGCGGAAATTTTCATTATTAAATTATTTTTATCGCAAATTTTATATTATTAAGAGAGAATATTGTGTTTTCTTCCTTATAAATTACGAAAAGACAACCTAAACCCATTATCTCATTAGAGATTATAATAGGGATTAAAATATTTTCGGATAGTTTTTGAAGTAAAATATGAGAATAAAACTGATTTTCAGTTATTTCAATTTCACATCAAATTATATTTTAACAGTAATAAATGAATAATTCTAGAAAAATNCAATAAAATATTACTGTGTCTGTAACTATTAACAAATTCCTTCTATTATTATTCTTTATTATACTTTCTATTTTAATACTATACCCTCGAAATTCTGAAATAGGCAATTTAATATGGTGGCCGGGAAAAAGTAGGAACTTTTAAGTTACGCTATAGTTATTTCATCTCCCTGACATCTGACATAACTTCTCAATAAGCGACAAACACCAACAAACAAAATGGACGTTTTGGTTAGAAATAAATACTTTTTCTTGCCCTATATCTAATAATAGCCAGATCTCATCGTTTCTCCAAAAGTCTTTTTTATTTCTCTGCTGATAGCCCGACACGTGTTCCACAGCCATCTTGTTTCTTTTAACGCGAATGGGATTGTGGGAACCCTCTTATGACTGGATCTAGTTTCAAAAACTCACTTGTGTCGATCGCCATTGAATCTCGCTTCAGTTGAGATTGAAAAAGTCGAGAGAGGTCGCCGATCTTATCAATAGTGAAGGGAAGAGTTTTGTAAATATCGATATGTCGATATATCGATAACCCACAAACCAATAATATTATCTAATATCATAATAAAATATCGATATATCAGAAAATATCGGACTAAGCTGGGAATTTTGACCGCTAGGATTAAAATTTTGCCTTGCAAGTTCAAAAATCATAACAGGAAAGGGGATCTTATGAAGGTACAGTACTTAAGTTAAATCCTTGTGCGAAGAAACCTACGTAACATTTCCTCACTCTTATTTTTAATAGCATGGGAATTCAACCCAGCAATACTGTAACTCACTGGACCCCAAAACTTGCAGTTTACATTTGAAAGCCGTACAAAGAAAACAAGATAATAACGAACTCAGAAATCACCAAATACCACTACACATGCAAATGCATTATGTAAATTGTTTGTTTATTTATTATTTTTATGATCTTACTCGATACGTTTTAAACTCTGCATTACTTAGCCTAGTAACTTAATACGTTATAATAAACCATTTTTCGAAGATTAAAGATTTTTCATAAGCCTAACAAAAATTAATTGTTCGTAAATTATATTTATATAATATTTGAAGAGATGAAGCATCTTCGCAATCTTTCCGANTAAATTGCCTATTTCAGAATTTCGAGGGTATAGTATTAAAATAGAAAGTATAATAAAGAATAATAATAGAAGGAATTTGTTAATAGTTACAGACACAGTAATATTTTATTGCCATAACTTAATGCTCTAAAAATATTCTACATACCGTGTTTCCCCGAAAATAAGACAGTGTCTTATATTAATTTTTACTCTGAAAGATGCGCTAGGTCTTATTTTCAGGGGATGTCTTATTTTTTCCATGAAGAAGAATTCACATTTATTATCGAACAAAAAAATTCCCAAGTCGAACTTAGACGAGAGTGACGTATATCCGGTCGTGTCGAACTGAACTTAAAACCGACATGAACTCACGAAGTTCTCGTGCTGGAGTGGACTTCCCACTCTCGAACGAACGATTCTTCTTCTTCTTTGTTTATATGGAGAATTTAGCTCTTCATAGGATCTCTCTCCGATTCGCCGACTCTCCGGTACCGTCACTTAAATTTCCTCGTTCGTATGCGATGTATTCTTCTAACGCCCCCACTAGGTCGCGGGGATTGATCTTTTTCGCCGGCTCATAGATCGCCCTCAATGTGCTACTATTGTTTAATTGTTCCTCCAGGGCGGTGCCCAGGTCTCTGCGGGCTATTTCGTACCTCGGACATTTTAGCCAATAGTGCACTTCCCACTCTCGCTTCAACTTAATCTTTTTATAACTCATTTCAACTTAACGCCAACATTTCATTACGGGACCCGACTGTAACGAATGTTTAACGTCTCGTAAAGACGTGCTATGAGAGAAAACTAATATAGATAAAAATTTTCAATGTCAAGGGAAACTTCTTTCTCTCTCTCCTACACAAGCAAAATTTATATACAATATACTTTACGGGCAACATTTATGCGTATTCGTAACCATGTTCGATGCAAGTTCTTTTATCAGGAATCTTTATCCCCGTTTCCGTGTACGGTTTTTTCGAATAAAAATTGGAAAACGATAAACGAGTTGCTCAGTGTAAACTATAAGAAATTATATTATCGTTTGGATATATTCGTTTATTTGTTTGTTTGCTTGTCATTTCCATATTCACATAAAAATGGCATTATCCATTGGGAGCAAAGTGCACTCCAAGCAATTTTAATTATTATTTTAAGCAACTACATTTCAAAACACTGAAATATAGGCTATATTCAAGAACTTAAACGTTGGAGACTGTAAATATATACAGTTTTATTTTAAAAGACGATTTCTGTAAATTCCACAGGGATGAAAATTCATACTGTATAATTTTTTGTTTGGTGTACAGAGACAAAAACACGAGACTATCAAATACACTTACCATGTACACTGATTACATATTTTATGTAGGCATTTTAGACTGTAAACCCTAGATTAATATTATGTTCTTCAACACATAAACGATTTATATAAAAACACTGATAAGTGTACACAATGTATACTGTATCAACATCGTATCAATTTGCCAATACCTTTATATCAATCGTTATCAATTCCACTTTTCTCGTCGAAAAGATGCAGAAAATGAAAACCTGGCTATGCGGGAAAGCCAAATTGAGAAAGTCCGTCTAAGTAAAATGAACAAGAGCGGAGACACCGACCGTACTTAAGGCAATAAGAAATCGTTTATTAACTCATCTTACCAATTTTAAATACAGTATACTGTATTATTATAATATTCACACAATTATTAACAAGACAAACATTTAAAAGATCGCAAAATTTTCAACATTAAATAATATTTAAGCGAACGTGTAGTCTTGGCCATGGCAATTCGATAATTCGTCGTTAAATTTAATGACGCAATCCGAGTCATACGAATAATTATCTTCTATAATTTTTTCTTTGTCAATAAGCAGAAGGATGTCTCGAAGTTCATCAAATGGCGAGACTTCGTCTTCCATCGGGTGCAGTTTTAAGCAGAAATCCTTCGAATTATTGTTCACATCTCCTGCTCCAAGATGTCTTTTAATTGGTCGTGGTTTGCAAATGACAGGAAGATCCTTTCTGTACGTGTAGCAGCTGACGTACGGTTGAAATTCAACGCTTTTGAACTTCTTTCCTTCGTTGTCCTTTTTTATACCAATAGAAAACAATCGTTTGTCTCCATTTTTCAATTGGGATGTTAATGAATTTTTCAGAATTGAATGTAATTTCGATTCCTCTTTTAATCCTTCTAGTCGTATAATGTCGACATCTGTTTGCCTGATAGATGCTTTCGATTGCAGCACTCGATCTTCGCAATTAATGTTTGTTGTATATTCTGGAATTTTCAACTCCTCAATGTCGTATGTCTTCAGATATGGTTGCTGCAAATCGATGTTATTTGTCTCTAGAAAACTCTCGGGAAATCTCTTGTTTATGTGTGATAACGCAACTCTCGACACCCACATTTCGACTCGATGTTTGCATGACAAAATCCATTTTATTATAACGAACATCAAGATGGAAGTTGTTATACATGCGGAGGATCCGAAGATGTAGAACAACACTCGATGTTTGAGAATCCGTGAATATTCCGAGTCGAAGAATTCCTCGCTAATTCTGGATTTCGTTTCACTCTTATTGTTGTTGTTACTACGTTTTGGTGTTTGATATTCGTGACTTAAATTGATTTCGTCTCTTGCTTTCTTCTTAGGCTTTATTCGTTTGTCATATATTAAGTTTTTATATTTAGGAGACTTGTCTTCATTATTTGCTCCAATGTCGAAGGTAGAGACGAATTTGTTTAAATTGGAAGACATTTCCATTCGAACTCTGCTGCCTTTCGTCGATTTCCTCTCATGATTTTCTGGAAGGGCGTCAAAGATGGTTTCTTTTGATGTTTTTTTCAGTGATTTTCTCATAATTCGATAATTAATGATGAAATTTTTGATTTCATCTTGATTCTCGAAACGAATGGGAGCGTGTCCATCTTTCCATTCGATCGCTGGGTATTTGTTGTCGTGTCCGGTTTGAGAAATTCCTCTGGCGTTTGCTGACACTTCGAGGAATACCAAAATAAATGTAAAAATCATCTTCGCATTTTCAGCTATCATTGCAGAAAACATTACGTAAAAGCTCTTCGAAAATCGCATTAACAATGAAACTGTTAATAATTCTGAAAACTGAATTCTTGAAATAACAATGCAAATTAATTTTTGTAAAATTAATATTTTACAAAATATAAAATATCAGGCGCCAAAACTGTTTGGCAAGGTCAGCGGCGCCCGTACACGATAAAAAAAGAGGGGACACAAGTTTTAAGAAAGGGCATGGTACATTACCTGTATATATAGTAAACAGGTATCTCTGGATTAATATAGTTAATTAATTCCTTTGTGTTTCAGTATATATCTAAATCGCATTAATCAAATACAGTGGTACCTCGGTTTTCGACCGAACCAACAGTCACGATTCTCTACAGCACATTTTCGAACAAATATTGTAATTTTAATTTGTTATCAGTAAAAAATTTTTCTGTGATAAAAATAAGTAACTAATTTAATAATAAAATTATTCCTTACAGCTTCCTTAAAGATTAAGAAAAGGGAAATATGATGACAAAGGGAGGACAGTTGTCCCAATGTACGGGCACCCCTATGCACGTTTAATATCCTAAGTAGGCTGTTTGCAGCTTCGTTATTTAACTATAAACTTAAGAAAATAATGCCAAATTTAATGCAAATTAATACATTTTTTAAACATTACACCCGCTATATTAAGCTATGGTGCTATCTGCATCAGATTAATTCATTAAAATAATACAAATGTTTTCACAGTTTTCTACGAAACTAGAAGTGTGCAAAAAGATTTAAGCTGTGATTTAATCAATCAATCGATGCTTAAACCTCTCGTTTATAAATCTTCGCCATTTTTATTGCCGACAATCACGCAATACTCAGTTTACGAGTGTATGAAGTGAGTCACAAGGTTACTTGTACAAATCATAAATTCAGTTTCTAGTAATAACGTGTTTTGATTTTTATTAATTATTTATTTTTTAATGTTTTAAGACGTATCTGAAAAAGATAATATCTAAAATTGGTTCTCTCTGATTATTTTAACATGATTTTCGGATAAGCGAAACTGAAAATTGTTTAAAAAAATGAAATTTGGCATTCATTCAAAGATTTTTTAATCTATTTTTTTAATATTAATAGGAGCCAAACTTCATTTATAACTCAAGAAACATTGTTATAGGATATTTTAAAGATAAAAAGCCAATGTCATCTCTTCAGTCCATCTTAACCTGGACTGCATGCACACCTAAGGGAAACCACCTTTTTTGAGGGTGCAAAATTTTTGATAACAGTGTTTTCTTTGATTGATCTTCTTAATTCTTTTTTCCACCTTTCTCATTGAAAACCGAACCTTTACTTTTAAATAAATCTTCGTGGATACGTGTAATTGTGTATTTTCTCTGTCGTAAATGTCTACCCTGGATCTATATGTTTTTATGCTGACGAATGGGCACAGGTGAATTTCCTTTCTCAACTGCTTAAATTGTGTGTAAAGTTAAGCTAAAATACTCTTGAGAAAACAGGAAGATCTTTCGTCTTAAATAAAGAAAAAGAATTTTTTATGGTGTGAGAAAACACATTTTAAAAATTTCAAGTGGTGCCGACAGCAGTTTAAAGTTTAAGAGCTATTGCTCTAGAAATTCCACTCTTTTTGTAACAAAGTTTTCGTGTTTTCTTATTTGTAGCTTTGTGTATTCTTCACTTCCATCTATGACACTCTTCTGATCTAACTTGTAAGTTAGACGTTTCTGCCTCGAAAAGGATCTTGATGTAATAGCGGAAAATAGATGATATTCCGGTGTCCGGCTAGAGACAATTATGAATCCGATATTCATAATTGTTTCCAGCAAGAGCATGGATCTTGAAATTTGAGCCTGGTTAATCGGATGGGTTGTAAGTTGAAAATATTGACGATCGTGCGATAAGTGTCTTCTGAGACACTACTAATGGAGATTTTTCTGTAACAATGCTAAAGATCAATGCTGATCGATACCAGAAGATTCTAAAAAACTTCTTGGAGTAGACTACATGACAAGGGACTGGACAAAAAAGTTACGACAATGCGCGGTCTCAAACTCTACGTTGCAGAATCAATGGATCGAAGCAAATGGTTGGTAAATTATTTCTCATTCGTCTCTATATTCCTTACTATTTGATTTTATGAAGAATTGCTTGGGGACAGCTTTTCGCGAATGATGGAACAGTACCGCAAGATTTACGTCGTTGTTTGTGTACTGACAAAATGGAGTGACACCGCAAAAATACTTTTGAATTACAAAAACGATGGCAAAAATGCACTGATAAAGGTCGAAATCATTTGTTTTAAATCATTTTTTAATACGAATTTACCGGTAAATTACCGATAAACCGATAATCCCGAATATAATTACCGAATTACCGGTAAATTTGCAATCACTATTGTCGACGTTGTCAATTTTTGAACTAAATTCTTTGATCTCGTTGTTCATTTAAACCTGTCTTTCAAAGTAGAGTTCTTCCGTGACGGTGATTTTGGTTGGAAGCTGCTCCATCACATGACACGAAACAAACGTGGATCGTCGCTTTCTTCCGCACTTTCGGCCTTTTGACGTTTGCAACAGCCTTTGATTGTGAGCCTTCGTTGTGGCCACNACTGGAAATAATTTAGTTTAATTTTCTATGTGAGTTTTTTAATCGGATCATAAAGGTGAAATTTAAACGTTTTTGAAAACAAAATACTTTATTGACAATTAATTGAACAACGATTACATGTCAGTCTTGTAGGTAATTATCATCATTATCAATCACATCTAGCCATATATCCTGCAAATTTTCAATTCTATGAGCATAGAATGAGAAAGGTTTTTCTTTGAAGAAAGTCTCGAACATCGGGTATTGTCATTGAACTGTATATTGGTGGTTCCGCAGGGCGCGAAATAGATAGTAGTCATTTGGCACCAAGTGTGGACTGTAAGTTTAATGAAGGAGAACCTTCCAGCCCATAATGGCGACTTTTCTAAGGGCATCTTTGCTCTATGTGATGGTGCGTTGTCATAGTGTTGTTAACTAGTGATTGCATTACCGGTATACCGCTAAATTAGAAAAATTATACCCCGGTAAATTTACCGGTAATTAGTTTTTTTACCGGTATTTCGGTTTACAAAACGTCTTAATTAACTCGATATTTATTTTACTAAAATTTCCACGGGAAATACCCGTGGGAAGCAATTTTTTGTCTCCCCGATACCATAGCGAGAAAACAGTGCAAGTGGTGATAGGTCATTCCATTTGTAATTTAAGGTTATTAAAAGGAATTTTCTAGTCTTTTTATAACTTGATTGCTTGTATTATACTTGAAAAACGGGTCTTGATTTTGGAGTAGGCCTATATACAGGAAAATAACCCAGAAAATTGAACAAATATAAGTTATACGAAATATCCAATAATGTTAACAAAAATATAATTTTGAATGGAATTGTAGAAACAATCAAGCACTTATCAGAAAATGAAAACAAATTATGACCTGCGGATGTCACTGAAATTAGTTCAGACTCAGATTCTGGTAAGAGGTGTTCATTGCTTACTATACCATCAACTTCTCACGTCGACACAAGAACAAAGCGCATAATAGAAAAGTCAAATTTAACAATGAAAGAGAAATTGGACTTATTCATTAAACATAAAACGAGCGTAGACACTGATAACAGTAATATAAGTAAGTTTAAAAGTGTGAAAGATATAGTTTAAAAAGAAATGAATTATTTCTTAGAGCAAAAAATACAAGAAACGTATCTTAAGAAGGTTTTCAATGCTCTAATGAGAGTAAGGTCCAACTAGTATTGATTCCGAGAGAGCTTTTTCTAATGCAGCTACCATTTGTACGAAAATTAGACCTACATAGATTAGACGACGAGAGCCTATATGTATTATGTTTGTTAAAAGCCTACTTTCAAAATAAAGAAAACATAATTAATTATCAGCATTATTTCAATGTTTCTTATGTCATAATAATTGCTAATACAAGAATTGTTTGTCTAAACTGATAACAAACTTGAAAATAAATGGTTGTCCAATAATTCTGTCAGTAATTCAATTTCGTTTCAAATCATTTGTTAATACGAATTTACCGGTAAATTACCGATAAACCGATAATCCCGAATATAATTACCGAATTACCGGTAAATTTACAATCACTATTGTCGACGTTGTCAATTTTTGAACTAAATTCTTTGATCTCGGTGTTCAGTTAAACCTGTCTTTCACAGTAGAGTTCTTCCGTGACGGTGATTTTGGTTGGAAGCTGCTCCATCACATGACACGAAACAAACGTGGATCGTCGCTTTTTTCCGCACTTTCGGCCTTTTGACGTTTGCAACAGCCTTTGATCGTGAGCCTTCGTTGTGGCCACTTTTGAAGTGATAGAGCAATAGCATGCCACTGTGTCCTTTCATATTGTCATATTGTCAGACATTACCGATGCATCTATTTCCAATGAAATGTGTGATGAAACTAAGATTAAACCTTCAAAAATCGACGATCCGGATGCTAATATTATCATTATTAACTTTAAACTTTGAACTTTAAAATTTAATTTAATTTAATACATATTTTTGTAGTAGCTTCAATAAGTTTTATGGTAAGTTCGAATGGAATAAAAATTTTATTTTTGAAAAACATTCACGGAGTTTACTATTAATTTAACTTGCGCATTCTAGCCTTTTTTAAACCATGATCCAATCAATTACTGACGGTCAGATCTTGACGTAGACTAATAGAAAAGTCGAGTCACGTCTAATCATCCCCTTTTTAATTTCAAGATTTGGTCACTTTAGAAGAAACGCCCTTCGGTTACTCTACTTATATACCCAAACCGAACGTTATAGAATATTTTTTACCAGTCTTTTCTAGAAAAAAGAAATCGAAATATCTAAATTTCACCTTTAAAACCAACTAAAGTTAGTATAGGGTGGTCCAAAAGGTATCTAATGTTTTTAATTTAAATATAATTATCTCTGCAATGTACGAATATAATTTAATGAAACTTTTCTGGCACACTGACGTACTCCAGTGATTTGTTTATCAATTGTTTTCATTTGAATTTGAATTCCTTTTAGTCTTTTGAATTACTATTTCGGATAGAGATGTCATTGCTTTGTATTACAGAAATCGACGTGAAAAGCGGAATTGACTGGTCTGAGAATTCTCCAGAACTGAATCTTTGAAATAATCTTATTTCGTCCACTAGTATGTATCTATTAACAGGACTTATTAAACTGGCTTTAAGGATACTGCAACTCAGTTTCACAGTTTCACAGTGTTTTAATACACTGTGAAACTGAGTTGCAGTATCCTTAAATGTAAAAAACAAAGTGAATTTAATGGGTAGCCTATTAATTTATGTTTTAATATAGGTATTTGTTTAAAAAGTTACTGTTAATAATGTTTAAATTTAATTGCTTAGTGGAAGTCGGAATGGAAAGAATTAGCCCTGAAATTGTAAGAATTTTATATTATTGTCGGTAAATTTTAAATTACGTGGTATTGTCGGAAAATTTAAATTTTGTATAAAAAATTTATTTTTTATATTTATGTAGAATGTATCATATAATACCTGCTGATGAGGGACGAACAAGTCCGAAACGTATAATTAACATGTATGTGTCCAGGTAAATTAAATAAAACCACAATTTTCTAATCTGTGAAACTGAATTGCAGTATCCTTAAAGCCAGTTTATTAATAAGTCCGTACTAGTGGACGAAATAAGATTATAATAAATTAGGACATTGAGGCATATTAATTGAATCTTTGAAACTTCTTCTTATGAAAATTTCTCAAGGATCGATTGTTCTGTCACTTAAAACATTTTGAGGGAGCTCGAGTCACTTAAAGAATTAAACTTCGTAGATCTTCGGTCCATCCTGTATGATTTGATTTCGATTTTTCTAGAATTATTCATTTATTACTGTTAAAATATAATTTGATGTGAAATTGAAATAACTGGAAATCAGTTTTATTCTCATATTTTACATCAAAAACTATCCGAAAATATTTTAATCCCTATTATAATCTCTAATGAGATAATGGGTTTAGGTTGTCTTTTCGTAATTTATAAGGAAGAAAACACAATATTCTCTCTTATTGAAAAAATAGCCGTTGTTCGGAGTTATTCAAATGTATAAAAGAAAATTAATTTTAAATATTCGAATTAATTCAAAAATTTTTTGACTTTAGAACAAACCGCTATTTATTATGACATCGTCGGGTTTCATTCATTTCATCAAGAACGCCGTTCATTTTACGAGGAATTACGTATTTACACAATTAATCAATCCTGCACGATAGATTAAAAGTAAGGTTTTATTCATTCTTAATGTATTGATACTTAGCACTCATAACATCTTGATATGCATTAAAAGACGTAATTACGCTTTCATGCAGCCAAACTATATTCAAATAAGCACGAAAGGCGACTACTTTTGACTGATTTCGGTCTCTTAGATGTGTGAAATTTTATCCGATTCTCCTCCTAATCAAGTATTTCTAAGTACACGAATAGATAAAGAATCTAATGGAATGTAATGATAACTTTTACATTATCAGATCACAACTGGAGATGTGAAGAATGCGTTATCGCTGTAACTACATCCACGGCCAAAGCTGCCTTTACAGAAATTACAGCCGCTTCTGATATACAAGTATAAAATCATCGATGCTTCCATTAAACTCTGTATACATTTTACTATATTTTAGTGTGTTTTCAGGTTGTTGGAAAGGTAACAAACTTTATATTTACTCGGGACATTAGTTTGGTTTCAAGATATCAAATGTCGAGCGAATAGTCCGATATCTCAAGTTCTTGCACAAGAATGAAATGATGCGGTGGATTGGATGCTATTTTATTTGCCAACGACCAGACCTACAGCGTCGATGGTCATAAAGGGAGTTAAAAATTCAATTTTATAAGGAATTATAACAATGTTAAGTAGTGATAGCTGATGTTAGTCACTAATGAGTGGTGATGCTTTGCATATCCGGCAATGTTTTATGCAGCTTAATATTAAATGAAACCTTTTACAGTCATCCTTACTTTTGGTGTTGGTAAAAGAAGCTCGACTTTCTGATCGCCGTAGCTATTCAACCCGAAATGGATCGAAAGTACATAATTTCTACTGTGTTCGCATTTAAGCTGCACTGGTTTTCTCAGAATAGTGTACCTCGCCCCATTATAAAAACAAAGACTGATAGGAACAAGTAAAAAGGGAAGTTGTCTTTTGAGACATTCATACTGATATATAAAACTTTTTAAAGGGAAAGTAAGAATACTGAGATGAAGGGAAAAAGATCATAAGTGATCAAGTAGCTATGGAAAGAATGGTAGGAAAGTTACACGTTTGCATCTAACCCGTGAATTGAAGGGCGTAGAAAGAGAAAGAGCATTATATCAAACTGACGTAAAATTATACACTGTTCTAACAAGGCGAATATACTTCCAAGTATCTACTAATCGCAGTTCCTAACAGGTATCGGAAATAAACCAGAGAAAGAATTGATTTTACTTGCCTAGAAGAAAATGAAAACTTGGTAATTGCAAATTCTATAATTAACTTTAAACCTTAAATTAACACACATTTATTTAATTTATATATGTTTGGCGTTTAAAATTCAGCCGTAGATCTTACAAGATACCTTCTTAGCTCGCATTTAGAAGAGACAACGTCGAATCTACTTCGATTCATATCGAACTGTGTTAAATATCAACATATATTGTAAGAGTACATTTTTATACGAAAAGTAACTAATCTGTGTATTAAATTAATAATAATAAACATATATTTTACGGATCAAATGACGTTCAAACCATCCTGAACAATCCAGCTCTCAATTTTACAGAGCATTTTCCTTCATCTATACTAATATTATAAAGAGGTAATGTTTGTATGTATGTAAGTTTGTTTGCAGCAGGTAATCTCTGAAACTACTCATCCGTTTTCAAAACTTCTTTCACCAATATTTAGAATGGAACCTCAGGGTGGACATAGGCTATATATTATTCCGTTAAACATTCATATAAATTAAAATATATAATCTAGGTTAAGACTTTTATGTCCAACAGATGGCGCTACGAGTACGACGTCCTAAGTTTGGTTTTCTGTGAGGCATTGTTTTTCTGTGAAAATGAACTAAAGCAGATCATCTATCTATTTATATAAATAAAAATGTAATGTTCGTTTGTTCCTACCGACTCCTTTGAAATTTTGACACAACGCTGCATTCGAATACGCACGTGTTTTTATTTAATATACGTGTCGAAATTCCCCCCACTGAAGGGAGATGGTTAGGATTAATGCTTACGGTGAAAAACTCTGCTTCTATTTATACTATTTTAGATGCGGTTTATTGCGTTTTTGATTGCTTTTTTAATAGGGTACGTCAACAGAATGTACACTAAGAAGGGATTTTTTGATATTCCCCCCCGCGGGGGAGAGAGACAGAATTAAGGCTTACCGTGAAGAACTTGGCTTCTATTATATTATTTTAGATGCGGGTTTTTGCGTTTTTGATTGCGTTTTAATAGGTTACGTCAAGAGAATGTACATTAAGAAGAAATTTTTCGAAAAATTTCCCCCCACGGGGGAAGTATTATACATTTATAATAGATAAATTTTGAGCCACAACAACGCGTGGCGGGGTCTGCTAGTTGGTGATAAATGTATATAAAATTTTGCGCCAGAGTCATTGGAAGTTTAGGCGTTGTGCTGCTGAATCGAGATAAAAGGAATTTTTATATATACTTAAACAGCACTCATTCAACTTAACTACAGAATTACTTATGTTTTGTTCATTTGAAAAGAGTACGAAGAGTTCTTAACTCTTCGTACTCTTTAATAGGTGTTAAATAATCGTTAAAAATTTTGTAATTTAATCTCATTCGCTGGTGTGATAAGCCCGCATGTATAAGTGTCTAATTATTTAGAGTAAGTGTTAAGTAGTAACAAGGGCAAAAAGCAATGTATTATCTGTAAAATTTTGCGCCAGAGTCATTGGAAGTTTAGGCGTTGTGCTGCTGAATCGAGATAAAAGGAATTTTTATATATACTTAAACAGCACTCATTCAACTTAACTACAGAATTACTTATGTTTTGTTCATTTGAAAAGAGTACGAAGAGTTCTTAACTCTTCGTACTCTTTAATAGGTGTTAAATAATCGTTAAAAATTTTGTAATTTAATCTCATTCGCTGGTGTGATAAGCCCGCATGTATAAGTGTCTAAGTGTAAAAAATATATATATATATATTTAAATAAATATGTAATACATTTTTGTTATTGTTAAATATGAATGCGTTCTTATCCTTACATGCTACCTATGGTTACATCAGATATTAGGCGTAGTAATATTTCCAAGCATGGCCTGTTCCATAAATTTCGTCCCTAAACGCATTCAATCTGTTAACTGTCGATCTAATACCCTTTACTTTAACCCATTCCTAATAAATGAACCCATTTATAATGAATTGTGAGTTAAACCTCACGCTAAAACAGGTTTTGTACAGTCTCAAAACAGGTACTGTTTTGAGACTGGTACAGTACATCATCTGCCTTCTCGCTAATATGCTAAAGATGACAATACCCCAGGTCAGTACGAATACAAGAGTTTAGCTTGGTTATATTTGGTTGATCGAGTGCTATTCGATATACCGTAAGTCTGTAGATACGATGAACTAAAATATTGATCGGGTGACAGTAGACTCCACTCTTAATTTATTCGAAATATGGCGAAATTCTGCAGTCGACTGGAGTAGAACTCGATAACGATGTGAGAAATGATGAAAGTTTTTCCTAAAATACAGGAAAAACTTATTAAAATATAGATAATTATTTACAAAAACATCAATTTTGTTAATTAATCAATCATTTATCTCTCGTAAGCCTTACCGTACACGCCATATATACCCATTTTATAATTATAACACGGAAAATATAGAAATAAATGAAAATATGAGTAAACAAATTCTGACACGCAATAAACTTTCAGGTTGTAGAAAGACTTTCACAAGAATGAGCCTGCGAGTTTCCTTCTATAATCAATATCGCAAATTACATGTACAAGATCTAAGAATACGGTTAGAACTTGTTCCCAGATAAGTACATATTTTAGTGTTTGAGATCCTAAAAGCGTGAGGTCCTACACCTAACACCTGTATTTTCGTGTCGCAATAGTCGCGAAAAATTCATTTATTACTATCAGAAATAGAAATTATTGGGCATTCTAAGTTTCATAGCATCTTTCCATCGAAGATGCTAAGAAGCAGATGCAGACCCGCATCTCGTAGTGTGAGATCCGACCCGTGTGCAAACCATTTTCCCAATTTCCTCCTAACTTTTTGACATATTTTAAACAAATTTATCACCTTACCATGAAAATAACATTGTCAGAAAAACGGAATCGAATATCTCTTCAACAACGATAGAAACTTATAACTCTCCTCTTTAATTTAAACATTTACACATCTAAACAATGGCATTCTCACTCTGCAAGAATTAAAGTTTACAATTACAGTCTGAATTCGTCATTTTATTGTGGTCCCGGGAACAACTTTAACCTCCATACCTACTCCAATGACATTTATCTCCCACAACAGTTGATCCCATGACGAATTTTCCCACAGCAAGCTATAAAAGCCCCTTCTTCCTCCGCTCCAGGGGGAGTCTCTCATCTATGGCTGATCGAAAGTGATTCAGGTCTCAAAGAATTTTTGGATTGTTAGAACTTTGTGCGTCGATCTACAACAAAAAGGATTAATATTTTCTTCTCCGTGGAAGTATACTAGAGGTATGAAACAATTAATATAAACTCTCTCTCCGTGTATTAGGAGCTAGCATACCAAGTTAAAGGTTCTCGATGTTAGAGTTCGTAATCGTTAATTTTTGTTTAACCTAATAAACCGTTGTTTTCATTGTTAAATGGTGTCATTTACTTTCATATCGCCTACGCCTTTCGGCGACCCCTCTCGCCTCCTCCACTCGACCTAACAAAAAAGATCCCGACCCCTCGGGATCGAAACTCGTAAACAATCCATCCCCTAACAAGTGGGCAGGTGTCCACAATAGCATTCCAGTATATCATCAACTGAAGAACGAAAGATGAAACCAACAGAGAAAATTTATAAAATTAAAAATAAAAGCTAGACTTAAAAACTTAAATTATAATTTCAATTTCAAAAATTCATTAATAAACTTTTATATTAACTACAAATGATTCTTTCTATATTATCATCAAAGATAATCATTCTCTTAAATCTTAAATTTTCTTTAATTAAATGATTTAATTTAAAATTTTTAAATTTTCTGGTACTCAATCACATCTTTTAAGTGGTTTTGTATTAAAACATAAGATGTTAATTGTAAATTTTGCTTTATAGGAAATCTTGGTCAAACTGAACCGGACACAATTGAATCGAATAAACTCTTTCAAAATATATAGCGTGACAGACAGACTATAAATTAAAATTAGTACATAAATTATGACATAGAATGTTTTAAGGAGTCCATTCGTTAAAAGCCGTACACGAAAATCGCCATTTTAATTAATTTTATTAAAGTACAACTCTTCTTGAGCTACATAAAGTATTATATTTCTAAATATAAAACTGTTTCGTTGAAATTTTAGAATAATAATTAAAGAATAATTTAAGCTAATTAATTGTCAATGTTTGGAAATTTATTCATATTATTTTAATATGAAAACTGCAGTTTCCAAAGAGAAACTTGCCTGCATTGTCTGTTATAGTGCCGAGAAGAGCACTTTACAGGCGCCAAATTTGCATTTATGTTTTAAAAATTAATTAAATTTTAAAACACTTTCTTAAACAGAAGAAAGTAATTTAAAATTTTAATGTAATTTTACACATAAAACATATTTTTCTATACCGAAACATCATTAATTTAGCTTAATTTTACTGCAGAACACTCTTAGATACAAAGTAATGTTAACCTGATTTGGAAACAGCAGCCCTTCGCACATAGTTTCTCCTTGCCAGTAATAGGTTTACTCTTATCGTGACTGTCCATAATGTAGGATGAGAGACGTGGCACATTTCGACTACACGAAGGCAATATTCTGTCAGCTTTTTGATAAATATTAGTAGCTTCCACCAAAACGTTAGAGAGGAAACAATACTTAGGTTGCCCATTTTCGTCTTAACAAGGATCGTCGTGGCATGGGATTAAGGAGAAATAAAGGAGAACGACTATAAAAGTTACTTGCACAGCTGGAGAGGATATTTGGATGCTGACATTGTCTCACTATGAAAAGGAGGTGAAGGAAGAGATGACCGGCAGACATTCTGACGATCTTTTTACCCTCTTTTCGATTGATTCACTTCGTATGTGCCGTTTGCAGTTGCAATGTTTTGCGGATAATATATTTAAAAATTAATTGTATTTAAAAACATTGTTCCCCTAAACTAATTGAGTAATAAAATATAATACACTAGCAGACTCCGCCACGCGTTGTTGTGGCTCAAAATGTTTCTATTATAAATTTATAACACTTCCCCCGTGGGGGGGGAATTTTTCGAAAAATTTCTTCTTATATTCTCTTGACGTACCCTATTAAAACGCAATCAAAAACGCAAAAACCCGCTATAAATAGAAGCAGAGTTCTTTACCATAAGCCTTAATCCTAACCATCTCCCTTCGGTGGGGGTTGAATTTCTACATGTATATTATATAAAAACACGTGCGTATTCGAATGCAGCGTTATGTCAAAATTTCAAAGGAATCGGTAGGAACAAACGAACATTACATTTTTATTNATTTATAACACTTCCCCCGTGGGGGGG